ATCTGTGGTGGTTCCGTCCTTGCACTTCCGAGCCGGAAGAGCAGCCGCCTCTCTCGCTCGGTGCGCTGTAAGCCCCATGTGTTCTGGAGGGTTGTGTGAGCCTCCAATGAGCCGCACACTGACTCCAGGAGTGTCGATAAGATCGGGGGAGATAAATCTCTCCAAGGGTCGTTGAAGTACGGACCAGGGAGGTCACAATAAGCAATGTATAGCAAGCTCATGGAGGAGCTCAGTAGAGATGCGGACTTCCTCCATTATAGTCAGGCCCCGCCCCCCCCAATCCACCCTTTTAAGGATTGTCCCCTATCACTCACATGTTCACTTGTCTCCTTGTCTTCTTACAAGCAGGTAGAAGCTCCTGGTATATAGTCTTGGACAGAGAAAAGGTTGATGTAGTGAGTATAGAAGAAAGGGAACATGCCACAGTGTTAGAGAGACCAAAGTCAGCTTTACATTAATCAATTTCATTGTCAGCCAGTCCACACAGGTTTTGTTCCCATACATAAGCTTCCATACTTAAACAAGAGTATGTGAAGAGTAGTTAGGGTTGCCACCTTTCTTGGAAAAAAATACTGGCCTCAATTATTTTCATAATTAATTATTTGTGCGTGACATCACATGATGTAAATCACAAGGAGTGACATAAGAGAAAATTCTATAAAATCACCACCAAAAAACTACTTACAGTTTGAGTCTGCTATATAGATGGATTGCTCCCAGTGTCTCAATGTCCCTATGTATCAAAGTGTCTCAGTGTCCCCATGTTGCCCTAGTCTCCCAGTGTCTCAGTGTCCCCATTTCTTCAAGTGTGTTTCCCCAGGTCTCCCAGTGTTCGTATGTATCACAGTGTGCCAATGTGTCAGTGTCCCCTCGTGTTGCAATGTCGCCCAGTGTCCACTTGTGTCTGTGTCCCCATGTCTTCCAATGTCCCCATGTCACACTGGGTCATTGGGAGACATAAGGACACTGGGAGACTGGGAGACATGGGGCACTGAAACACTTAGGGACACTGGGGCACATGTGGATACAGACATGAGGACACTGGAAGACATGGGGACACATACATTTGGGGACACAGAGACATGGGGACACAGACACTGGGAGACTAGGGGACACTAGGAGACATGGGGGCAGACATTTGGAGACACTGGGAGACATGGGAACACAGACATGGGGACACAGACACTGGGAGACTAGGAGACATGGGGACACAGACATGGGGACACTGGGAGAAATGGGGGACAGACACTAGGGACACTGGTTGGGAGACTTGGGGCACTGGGAGACATGGAGACACTAAGACATTTGGGGATACTGGGAGACATGGGGACACAGACACTAGGGACACAAAGGCATGGAGACACAGAGACATGGGGACACTGGGAGACCTGGGGACACAGTGTCCCTAGTGTATGTGTCGCCATGTCTCTCAGTGTCTCCCAGCATCCCCAAGTCTCACAGTGTCGCCTAGTGTCTCAGAGTTTCCCCATGTGTCTCCAAGTGTCCCCATGTCTCTAGGATACTAGGGGACAAAGAGACATTGGGACACAGAGACACTAGGGGACACTGTGAGACCTGTGGACACTGTGTCCCCATGTGGATCCAGACATGGGGACACTGGGAGACTAGGGACACGGAGACATGGGGACACAGACACTGGGAGACATGAGGCACTAAGACATTTGGGGACACAGACACTAGGGACACAGATACACTAGGGACACAGAGACACTAGGGACACATAGACTAGGGGACACTGTGTCCCTAGTGTCTCAGTGTCCACATTTCTCCCAGTGTCTCCCAGCATCCCCAAGTCTCCCAGTTTCCCCAAGTCTTCCAGTGCCCCCAAGTCTCACAGTGTCCCCTAGTGTCTCACTATTCCTAAGTCTCAGTGTCCCCAAGTGTCTCAGTGTTCTCCAGTGTCCCCTAATGTCTCAGTGTCCCCAAGTGTCCCAGTATCCCCATGTCTCTGTGTTCCTATGTCTCCCTGCAGCTTTCCCCCCATCCATCACTTACCTAAACTGTAGGCTGTCTCTGCAGGCTGGGAGCTGCTGTCTGGACTCTGTCCTGTGTAGCTGCTCCCCTGCGGATCAGAGAGTAGAGAGATGCAGAGATATGCTGTAACTTTCTATCCCTGCCTCTCTCCACACACAACGACCCCTACTGGCCGGTGCTGGTTTTGCAGAGTTATCTCTGTTTATACTGAGAAAAATACCTGCATTTGTATTGCCGGTATTACTGCAATACTGGCACGGCCAGGTAGCCTCAAATACTGGCTATGCCGGTAAAATACCCAGACAGGTGGAAACCCGGAGTACTGGCTAAAAAAAAAAAAAGTTATATATATATCTATATCCATGTAGAATAGAGATAGCACTCCCAGGACTCCGAATGTATTTAAAAATAAAACAACTTTTATTTTCTTCATTTAAGTGATCAATATTTCAGTTTGTCACCCAAACTTTCATCAGGACAAGGCTGTAATGAGACTAGTGTGAATGCGTGGCCTAAGTCGACTTGATCATATGTATTTTTACTCATATGTGTTTTAACTGTCCCTACGGCAGATTGAAGGCAGCCAGGCTGTGTGACACAATTTTCTGAATATTTCTGTGTGATTGTTAAAGTGTCAAACCATTGTAACTGTTAAAAAAACGCTTTGACAGAACCTCAAATAAATGTGTTTTGTGAACTTTTATAATAAGGTTTAAAAAAATAAAAAATAAAAAGTCTAACTGTCTCTTAACATGACATTAACATTCTGTGAAAGCAGATACTCTAAGGCTGCACAGGCTCTGTCATTCCATATGCAGTGGACCGCATGTCCCACAATGCTTTGCCAATCATTGTATAAATAACTTGCATACAAAATTAAAATCAATATATATATTTAATGCAGAAGGAAGCATCTGCTTTAGATATATTTAAAGTTGTTTCTCTACTTGTGACAGTGCCAGGGGACTCCTGACACCATAACTACTGCAGTGTGCTATCTTTCCAAACAGAATTCTCGCACAAGTCAGTGGGGAGCCCTGCTTGGTTAGCTGAGAGTTCTCAGAGATTCTATAAACTGAATCCCTAAAAATCTATATTTATTCAGTTTTACATTCAGCTCTTCTGTTGCAGGGTAATTTGCAGAGCTGGGAATTGCAGGGAATTGACAGAGCAATTGAAAAGTGTATTTCAAAAGAGCAGAGGCAATATTTGTATTTAGTTACATTGGCGCAAAATATTGCAAATCGTTTGTCAGTCATCGGCAATTCATGTTCAGTGAATCACCCTAGTTCACTTTCGTTGCCTTAGGGACACTCCACTGCCTAAATATATACAAATAAATATCACTGTTTAGTAGATATACCCCAATAAAAAGACTCATTGCTTTTTCATTAGGGCTAATATCTAAAAACAGCTTGTAAAAGCTGCACATTTCTGGTCTCATTGGTTTATAAATCTTTGTTTGGAGTCACCTCCGACCGCAGTCTGTTACCCGAAAGATCAGCAGAGATGAATAGATCAGATGTTACCGTCGTCTTGCTTCGTTTTATTTTCCATTTGTGAAAATAAACTGTATTTAAAAAAAAATAAGCATTGAGTTGTGTAAAGTGAAACTTGTCGCATAGAAGAATTCTGAACAAAAAACTTGTTGAGTAAGTTTTTTTGCTCCACCTGTTGGCTTACATTCCTTTGCTAATTGTCACTTGTGTGGTATGCAAATATTGTCACCACTTGGTGATGTAGTAAAACCATCACACCCCTTCTGCAGTTAAACTAACTTTGTAAAAGCTTTTAGTTGTCGTTGACGGGAGAGGACATAGCAGAGCCTTGGTACAAAAGAGAAAAAGGCCTTATGTATTTGTAACTATGAATATGGCGAAAGTAGAACAGAGTAACTTTGTTGCAAGATCTTGCTTGACGTAGCCTGCTTTACAGCAAAACGAAGGTAAGAACGAGGGCAGGACACATTACTATAGTATTAAGATTGTATGCATTAAGGGTAGTCTGAAACAGATCTACAAACAGGTACTGAATGTCCATCCATGCAGCATGCGAGAAAGGCCTCGTAGGAGGGACAGACGTTCTGTGCACACCACCCAATGCAGGGTTTGACTCTCATGATGGTAATCCAGCCAGCAGAGTAGTGGATACTAGTGGTAAGGCCAACACATTTTGGGGCATAGTATAAGGCTATCTAGAAAAGCATATAGAAAAAAATGAGATCTTAATAATGGGCATTCTAGATGGTGCATCTTGTCCGAATATACCATAGCAAGTTGTGTCTATGTTTTTTAAGCACAAACTGTGCCTGCTATTTATTATTTGTGATTGTTTGGGGCATTGTTTGTGTAGTGTGCTTTAATTAACAGATTTTACAAAGTCGGTGTTCAAATCTCATCACCAACAGGACAGAATTTACAGATCAGATAGATATATTAGTTATTCGGGCATGTTTATCAGAGCAAACTCTGTGCTAAGGGCGCTACATCAATGAGCATTCCATGTGTCAACACATCAGGGGGCAATGTATTTGGGGAGCCCCGTAATGTAATTTAAAAGGAGGCACCAAGCTGTGCATGAGCTATATGGCTGACACACACTTTGCCAGGCATTCTACCAACTCTGTACATGGCCAGTAAAAGGAGGGTACACTAAGTGCTGGATTAGGGGCTTCGTGGGTTGGGAGTTGAAAATTATGTAGGGCCTAAATATATAAATGGAATTTGAGCTTCTGGTCTTGTACGTCTGACCTCCATCTGCAGCTAGCCCTTGTAGCCATATATAATATTTATCTTGAGAGGCAGGTTAAACCACAGAGGCATTCGCTGGGAAAGCAATGAGCACAAGGAGTCACAGCCCATCCTCTGGCATGGGGTACAGGGAATCCATGCTGTGGGTAATGTGGCACAGGGAATGCATCCTATGAGAAATGGGGCACAGGGAATCCATCCTATGGGTAATGGGGCACAGGGAATCCATCCTATGGGGCACAGCAAATCCATCATATGGGTTACAATGAATCCATCCTATGGGTCATAGAGTACAGGGAATCCATCCTATGGGTCATGGGGTACAGGGAATCCATCCTACAGGTAATGGGGTATAATATGGTACATATGGAATAGGTATCCAGCTTGTATCACTAAAACATAAATAAAAAATACAACATAGCATAATACTGTTGTGGTCTTATTAATTGCCCAATAATAATGGCGTACAAATAATCCTTCCTATGAGTAATGGGGCACAGGGAATACATCCTATGGGTAATAGGGCACAGGGAATACATCATATGGGGCACAGCAAATCCATCCTATGGGTCATAGGGTACAGGGAATCCATCCTATGGGTCATTGGGTACAGGGAATCCATCCTATGGGTCATTGGGTACAGGGAATCCATCCTACGGGTCATGGGGTACAGGGAATCCATCCTACGGGTCATGGGGTACAGGGAATCCATCCTACGGGTCATGGGGTACAGGAAATCCATCCTATGGGGAACAGCAAATCCATCCTATGGGTAATGGGACACAGGGAATCCATACTATGGGTAATGGGGCACAGGGAATCCATCCTACAGTTAATGGGGTAAAGGGAATCCATCCTATGGGTCATGGGGTAAAGGGAATCCTTACTATGGGTCATGGGGTAAAGGGAATCCTTACTATAAGCAATGGGGTACAGGGAATCTTTCCAATGGGTCGTAAGGTACAGGGAATCCTTCCTATGGGCAATGGGGTACAGGGAATCCATCCTATGGGCAATGGGGTGAAGGGAATCCTTTCTATGGGTCATGGGGTGAAGGGAATCCTTCCTATGGGCAGTGGGGTGAAGGGAATCCTTCCTATGGGCAATGGGGTACAGGGAATCCTTCCTATGGGCAATGGGGTGAAGGGAATTCTTCCTATGGGTCATGGGGTACAGGGAATCCATCCCATGGGCAATGGGGTGAAGGGAATCCTTTCTATGGGTCATGGGGTGAAGGGAATCCTTCCTATGGGCAATGGGATGAAGGGAAGCCTTCCTATGGGCAATGGGGTACAAGGAATCCATCCTATGGGCAATGGGGTGAAGGGAATTCTTCCTATGGGCAATGGGGCACAGGGAATCCTTCCTATGGGTCATGGGGTACAGGGAATCCATCCTATGGGCAATGGGGTGAAGGGAATCCTTCCTATGGGCAATGTGGTGAAGAGAATCCTTCCTATTGGTCATGGGGTACAGGGAATCCATCCTATGGGCAATGGGGTGAATGGAATCCTTCCTGTGGGCAATGGGGTACAGGGAATCCATCCCATGGGCAATGGGGTGAAGGGAATCCTTTCTATGGGTCATGGGGTGAAGGGAATCCTTCCTATGGGCAATGGGATGAAGGGAAGCCTTCCTATGGGCAATGGGGTACAGGGAATCCATCCTATGGGCAATGGGGTGAAGGGAATTCTTCCTATGGGCAATGGGGTACAGGGAATCCTTCCTATGGGTCATGGGGTACAGGGAATCCATCCTATGGGCAATGGGGTGAATGGAATCCTTCCTGTGGGCAATGGGGTACAGGGAATCCATCCCATGGGCAATGGGGTGAAGGGAATCCATCCTATGGGCAATGGGGTGAAGGGAATCCATCCTATGTGTCATGGGGTGAAGGGAATCCTTCCTATGGGCAATGGGGTGAAGGGAATCCTTCCTATGGGTCATGGGGTGAAGGGACTCCTTACTATAAGCAATGGGGTACAGGGAATCCTTCCTATGGGCAATGGGGTAAAGGGAATCCATCCTATGGGCAATGGGGTACAGGGAATCCATCCTATGGGCAATGGGGTGAAGGGAATCCATCCTATGGGTCATGGGGTGAAGGGAATCCTTCCTATGGGTCATGGGGTGAAGGGAATCCATCCTATGGGCGATGGGGTACAGGGAATCCATCCTATGGGCAATGGGGTGAAGGGAATCCATCCTATGGGCAATGGGGTGAAGGGAATCCATCTTATGGGTCATGGGGTGAAGGGAATCCTTCCTATGGGAATCCTTCCTATGGGTCATGGGGTGAAGGGAATCCTTCCTATGGGTCATGGGGTGAAGGGAATCCTTACTATAAGCAATGGGGTACAGGGAATCCTTCCTATGGGCAATGGGGTAAAAGGAATCCATCCTATGGGCAATGGGGTACAGGGAATCCATCCTATGGGCAATGGGGTACAGGGAATCCATCCTATGGGCAATGGGGTACAGGGAATCCATCCTATGGGCAATGGGGTGAAGGGAATCCATCCTATGGGCAATGGGGTGAAGGGAATCCATCCTATGGGCAATGGGGTGAAGGGAATCCATCCTATGGGCAATGGGGTGAAGGGAATCCTTCCTATGGGTCATGGGGTGAAGGGAATCCTTCCTATGGGCCATGGGGTGAAGGGAATCCTTTCTATGGGCCATGGGGTGAAGGGAATTCATCCTATGGGTCCTGGGGTGAAGGGAATCCATCCTATGGGCAATGGGGTGAAGGGAATCCTTCCTATGGGCAATGGGGTGAAGGGAATCCTTCCTATGGGTCATGGGGTGAAGGGAATCCATCCTATGGGCAATGGGGTACAGGGAATCCATCCTATGGGCAATGGGGTGAAGGGAATCCTTCCTATGGGCAATGGGGTGAAGGGAATCCTTCCTATGGACAATGGGGTACAGGGAATCCATCCTATGGGCAATGGGGTGAAGGGAATCCTTCCTATGGGCAATGGGGTACAGGGAATCCATCCTATGGGCAATGGGGAACAGGGAATCCGTTATATGTGTATTTCGTTGTTTCTATGTTTCGTGTTTTCTTTGGTGCTTTATGCGTATTTGGGGTTTTCTTTTCTCTGAATCTGTTCTATGGGTAATGGAGCGCAGAAGGTCTGTGGACAAATGATCTTGGAGAATCATAGGCTACTCTTAAGTGTAGTGTGCATAGTGTACATTTAACCCCTCACCCAGTTGTTAATCAAAGCACAGGTAAAATATGTAGTGTGCCAAAGCCTACCAATGCACGACATAAGGGAAGCAATGTGGAACATTTGGGAGATTTGTCCCAAAATGTATATAGTTCACCTGCTCGTCACGTCATTCAGGGAGGTGGCAGGAATGCAAGTGCAGCGCTGGTAAATTAAAAATAAGTAACACATTACCCTAGGGTACTAGTATTGTGAAGTCACAAAGCACAGTATGCATCATGCTGAGAGCTGGAGCCATGAGAGCACTCGTATAAATCTAGCCACACATGGATATTCACTAAAGAATTATTTGGCAGGAATTGAATGCTAGACACTATAGTCACCATAACAACTACATCTTATTGCATTTGTTTAGGTTAGTATAATCAGTCCCTTCAGGCTTTTTGCTGTAAACACGGTCTTTTCAGAGATTAATGCAGTGTTTACATTACAGCCTAGTGATAATCCACTGGCCACTCCTCAAATGGCTGCTAGAGGTGCTTCCTGGGGCAGTGCTGCACAGTGTGACAAATTCACTGTATTCACCCTCTGCATGGAGACACTGAACATTCCTCATAAAGATACATTGATTTAATGTATCTCTATGAGGAGATGCTGATTGACCAGGGCTGTGTTTGGCTTGTGCTGGCTCTGCCTCCTTGACAGTCTCAGCCAATAATATGGAGAAGCATTATGATGGGCTGTGATCGATACTTCTGATGTCAGCCAAGGAGGCAGATCAAGGGCAGAGCCAGCAGCAGCAGACTGGAGTAAAGGTAAGATTTTACTATATTTATGGAGGGCAAGTGAGACCCAGACACTAAAGTGTCAGGAATACATGTTTGTGTTGACTCTATAGTGTTCCATTAAGGTCAAAATAGCAAGCTGAAAATAAAAATAAAATAGCAAAAACTCAACCAGGACAGATATCCTGGCCATAGGAGCAACTAATCAATCATTGTTTTGTGTTCTTTTTATGTAACCCCCAAGTAATTGTAACCACCATAACAACTCTGAACCCATTTTCAGTTCTCAATGTGGTTTATAACTGTATCAATTTACTGAAAGACCGTCCCCATAGTCATCGGTCATACGGACAGAATTTCCGGAATATATTCATTTTTCCTGGATTTGGCAGCAAACTAGAGCAGGGGTCCTCAAACTCCAGCCCCCCAGATGTTGCTGAACTACAACTCCCATGATTCTCTGGCTCTATGTAATTCAAAGAATCATGGGAGTTGTAGTTCAGCAACATCTGGAGGGCCACGGTTTGAGGACCCCTGGACTAGAGGCTCCTAATTGGTGAAGCCTCTTCCCAGTTAGAGGTGAGGTCTGCCAGAAACTGCAGTCAGCTTCTCTAAACTGTGTAGGATTTTGGAAAGTATTTTTTTTAAATGTATTTTTTTATGCATTTTATATATTTTTCCTATTGTTTGCCCTGGCAGTAAGGTGAAGAAAGGCCTGTGAGGGTATATGAGGTATGTTCTCAGGGAATCGGCTGCTCACACAGCTTTACAACAGGGATTACAAAACCTCTGAGGTCTCGTTCCTGGCCTGAAGCCATTACATCTTCAGTTCATGGAATAACAACTGTTGGGGTAATTCCACAGCTGTGCTTTAATTGCTGAGAAACTCTGATAAAATAAGAAGATACATATGAATTCTGTGATACTTTTCAAAGAGTTGCGCAAATTTCTGAAAACCCCAAAAGTATAAAGTGTTTCCTACATTTTCTATTAATATGTTTTTCTTAAAGAAGCACTTTAGAGTCAGGAACACAAACATATATTTCTGACCCTATTGTGTTAAAGCCACAATCTAAATCTAATCTCTCTTGCCTCCCTAAATATAGTAAAATCTTACTTGCATTCAAGCCTGAAGTTGCTGGCTCTGCCCCTGCCCGCCTCAGACCTGCAAGCTGTCTGTTGACATCATTAGAAGTGTTGCTCTGAGCCAATCACAATGCTTCCCCATAGGACTGGCTGAGACTGACAAGGAGGCAGATAAGGGGCAGAGCCAGCACAATTCAAACACAGCCCTAGACTTACTTACCTGAACCTGTCCATTGCGAGAGCCACATCTGTGAATACAGCATTGAGGTCTATGGAGGATCCTGCAGGCCTGTTGGATCCTTCATAGACACTGCTAATATCTCTGAAGCGGTCACTGGGGACGGCTGGGAGATTGACACTTCTAGAAGGCGGTAGCTTCATCCAGTGTCTAAGGGAAGAAATATAAAACTGTCCCCTGAAAACTAATTTTTTTATATAATAATTCTTTCATCGTGTTTTTTAAATGAAGTATGTAGAAAAAAATTCTCTGCCTTCAGCCGTATGCACGAGCTTGGGTCATATGGGTTTTGAAAACGGACAGTCTCTATGGTCTTTCCTGCGTCTGTGTAGCAGGAAAGACCATAGAGACTAACTGTAAAATTCAAACACTGTTTGACCCAAGGTGCATGTATATGGCTGAAGGATCCAGTCATAGACTAAAGATAACAATGAGTTTTTCTAATTTTTTCTTACATTTCCTTGACAGGTAAATATTTTCCCTTGTACTCTATCAAAATGACTCAGTCCCGAAGGGCCTGAAAAAAAACAAAAAAAAAACACTCCTAGCAGGCTAAAGTCCTACCAGCATCCTAAAACAGGCTTGATGGAGAATTCAGAGGTTAAAAAAGGGAGAATTCTCTTTGGAAATTAAATCCAATTAAACCCAATGTACCTACTGAGTAGATCATTTATTCATAAACACTAAGGAGTCTGCTAGGAGTAAAAGTTTGTTAATTATGGTTTTCTCAACCATGTCTTTGTTTATAATAAAAAAATAAAATAAAAAATTAAATAAAAATTAAAGGACCACTATAGTGCCAGGAAAACATACTCATTTTCCTGGCACTATAGTGCCCTGAGGGTGCCCCAACCTGAGGGTGCCCCCACCCTCAGGGTCCCCCTCCCGCCGGGCTGGATGGAGACAAGGAGTTAAAAAAATTACCTCTTTTTCCAGCGCCTGGCGGGGAATTCTCCTCCTCCTCTCCGCCTCTTCTCCTCCTCTTCGGCTGAATGCGCATGCGCGGCAGGAGCCGCGCGCGCAGCCAGTCCATAGGAAAGCATTCACAATGCTTTCCTATGGACACTGGTGTCTTCTCACTGTGAAAATCACTCTGAGACAGCCACTAGAGGCTGGATTAACCCTAACATAAACATAGCAGTTTCTCTGAAACTGCTATGTTTATAGAAAAAAGGGTTAACCCTAGATGGACCAGGCACCCAGACCATCTCATTAAGCTGAAGTGGTCTGGGTGCCTATAGTGGTCCTTTAAGCATCACTAAATTACATTTGCTGCCATTTTTTACACAACTGCATTTGAATACCAAATAAAACAAAATTAAAATATGCAATGGGACTTTACGTATTTATAGTATAGAATAGCAACAATAAAAACAGATTTAAACAAAAGAATATAAAGAACTCTGGATAGCTGTAACATCTGCTAATCTACCATTATATCGTTTTACTTGACTAATTTGTGTAATAACCCTTTTAAACCTGGTAGAATGGCATTCAACTACAAATTCCCTATCCTAATCACTACTTAAAGTCAAATATGTGCACACTGTGCTAAATAGCCATCAACGAACAGATCATGTGCAATCGGACGTGTTTGTGAAAAACAAAAGACAACAAGTAGACTATATAATAACGTAATCGAGAAGATAAATACTATTTGGATAAATTGCACTTTAGACATTTCATTTAATTGCAGTGGAGCAGAGGACTCTACAGGACCTGCACTTCCACTTACATGATTATTTTGTCACATATTACCCCCTCATATCTGATAATTAGCCAACCTAGCGAACGCTACAGATGGCCCAGCATGCTTCACTGCCCAACCGCTCATTTAAAATGAATACAGTGTAACAGTTTGTGTGGGCAAGTGAGTGGGTGGGAACATTCAAACATGCCACCGTGGTAATTACTAACATTTAACACTTGCTATATGGTTCTACAGAAGCAGAGTTGCCTATCCTTGCAATATAATGATCTGATAATGAAGACTGCATTGAGAACGAACGGGAAATAATAGTTCATTTCACACGTACAATTAAGTGTCATTAATTAAGTTAACCAGGCATAATATTTTGTCACTTTAGACCAAACATTGATCATGAATGAAGGAAGGATTCAGCAAATGCAATTGCATCAGGGTTGTCAGCTTGTAAACATTCCTACTCAGTCAGAGGGCCCAAATCTCAAATATTCAAATTAACTTGGGTGAGAAGACACCGTTCTCCTATATTTTATTCTAATTATATATATTTTTTGTAAAACAATCTGTACGTAATACCGATCAGGTCATAGCTGTTCGTGGGATGTGCTATAATAATGTCTATTGTAATCAACAAAATGTCATTACTGTATATACGCTTCTATAAGTTGAATGCAATTTTTTGACCAACAATTGTGAAATATACTATGACTTGTGGATAAGTCGAGGGTACGTGTGCCCTTATTTGTACCTTGTTTCGTCTGATATCCCCCTGCATTCAAATGGAATTGTTCCCCTTCTGTTCGGTTACAGAATAGACTCTGAGTGGCCCCCCTTGTTAACACCTCGTAATCACCGACCATCCCTGGCTGTTAACCACAAACAAGCATTCTCTGCGTGGCCGCCATTCGTATATACGAACGCACGTATTCAAACAAACGTGTGTCCTGAATGCAGGCAGCTGTACATGGTAGTCAGCTACGTAAGCCCGCAAACCCCGCTGAAACTTGTACCCCTGCCCGTTCGACTTCCCGACCAGCTAGGAGAACGGCATTCGGGAGTCCACATTGCCCCACATTCAATGTACAAAACTAGCACTGACTCTAAGTTGACTCTGCGTTTAAAAATTAAGTTTACAACTAAAATTTCTCAACCTTTACACAAGTATATACGGTATATAGAATTTTTATAAGTAGTGGACAGCATCGTGTATCATTAGGGATGGAGACAGAGGTCCAGTTGGTCAGCAGGATGACAAGTCACTGGTTTATTTCATAGCTAAATGAGTCTCTGACTTTGTTTTATATGTTTAAGATATTTTAGACTTTACATTTTCTTATTTTCCAGTTACTAGGAGTTTCTATATTTTTACCACCAAATACTATTGCATCATGCTTCTTTGCTCACTTGCTGGCTTTTGCTCTGTGCAAACCCGTACCTGCGTTTGTGTCTACTTCATATCCCCACGCTCGATCCCATTTACTCAAGATCTACGTAGATACTCCTGTCTACGTCAGATATCCTTATAACTCAAGACCATTCAGTCCCTTTATCCTTCAGCCCCCACTTGTTTTTCTTTAGAAAAATATCACATTGGTTTACACAATGTTCCCCATAATATTTGTTTATATTAACAGAAAGAAATGAAATATGTTATGCACACACACACACTCATAACAGCAACAATAGCGTTGGATAAATTGAGTTAATCCTTTAAAATATCAAAGTTCAAAATTGTCAAGAATACATATTACATAGTTACATAGCTGAAAAGAGACTTGCGTCCATCAAGTTCAGCCTTCCTCACATATGTTTTTGCTGTCCAAAAGAAAGCAAAAAACCTAGTCTGGTTACAATAACTCTAAAGAAAGTATTATGATTTAGGACTGTGACATCATCACCAGGAAACCTGGAAATTTAGAAAAATGGGAAATAATTACTGTAGAAGAAAGGGGAAATCGCTGTGGCATTAAGAGGAGGGTGACAAACCAAGAAGACTGTTGAGAATAATATTAAAAAAAGTGGAATGGGAACAAAACGAGCAATGAAATGGAGTCCCCCCATTTTTGGCTAACGTAAAAGGAAGACTGTACCGTTAGGAATTAAAATCTATATTCCTAAAGTTATAGTGCCCTTGTCCCTGTTTAGTGCCCCCCCCCCCACCTCTTTGCAAAGTAAAAAACACAGAGGGGGGGGGAGCTTTTAACTTGCTTTGCCCCCACTGCTTAGATTTCCTCATTGCTGCTGTTTAATCCACCTCAAGCAACGTCATCATAGAGGAGTCACTTCCACGTGGGGCGAGAGCTGCGTGTACGTCCAATCAACTGCATCTCGTAGGAAAGTATTGAAATCAATGCATTACAATGAGCTGCACTTGGACTCAACAGAGTTTCACTCAGTTGTTGCAAAGGAAGTGGTCCCGGCACATTTATTGTTTTTTTTTTAGATAAAGAGCTGGCTGACAGGAGATAATTACACGCATGTTGTCCCACATGTTACATTTGTGCAAGGACAGTATATAAAGGTTAAAGATAGAGTGAATGAAGCGGGAAAGACATTCTCTCTCCACGCTCTGAAAGCTAGCATGACATGCTTTGATTAACAGAGTAAATATAGGAGAGCAGAGCCAAGAGCAGGGATATCACAGTCTGCTTTGAGATAAAGAACAAACAAGTGAGTTTGTGGCTGTGATTGCAGAATTTCCCATCTAAATGTTTAGACTTTATATGGACTTTTCAAAAAAACCTGTTTGCAGGTAAAATGCTGTGACATTTATTCTACATAGCGGCAATTATAGCAAATTGACAAGGAGGTTGCACATTAGCCATATTCTCTCTGTAGTTTGCAATTGCAACTCGTTAGTCGGATCCCCTTAATTCCCAGTTATACCGGATGTGGGTTTTACCTGCAGAATTGTTCTAACAAACCTTCCTAAGCAAGAGGCCTTTAAAAATAATCTTACACCTTTTAAATCACTATGGGATATTATGGGGAATTAAAAGAAACAAGAGTGAATGCATACAAGAGCAGACAAACGGATTCTATTGTTTCCGGCAAATAAAGATGACGAAAACCGTGTAATGCATTGTTGTACTTAGAGGTCAAGTTTAATAATATATATATCTGGGAACAACTCAGCACAACCTTCACACTATTTAAATAACTCACATCACCCTCAAACATTCTAATCTGTTGCCAAAATGTATATCCTAATATGTTCTATTAAAATGTACCTGTCATGTAATGTTCTATAAAAAGAGCATTACATGTTATCTATATATTGTGCTTGCAAATGTATAGATTGGGAGAAAAACCTATGTAAAAATATAGGCCTTTCTCCCACCTGTTAATCAAATCTTCAGAATAGACTCTCACTCTAGAATTATGGTTAGGTGGTTGCTATGGTAACTCACTAGCCGGCGCTGCTTGCGGAAGCATGTCACATCAAAGAAGACTGCTAGTGGAGAGTAGGCCATACTACAGAAGTATAACACACCTCTGTGAGGACATCCAGAATTCCCCAGATCTCAATCTGATTAAGCAGGATGTGCTGGAACAACAAATCCAATCCACAACATTAGGCAGGTAGTTTTAATGATGTTGTGGATGATCAGTGTAGGCTCGCAAAGCAATATCTAAGTTAATAATCACTGCAACTAATCAAAAGGTATACAATACAACAGCAGGTCCAGAACAGGTGTGTCTGGAATATAACTCCCAGACACCCATCTACCTGTACCCACCAAAAGTGATTCTTTGTCTAGCAGTGTGCACCATCATGGAAGTAGCATGCTAAGCCTCATAAGCACTACAGATGGATGTAGAAGTTATGACGCAGTGGGTCTTTGCTCCTACCCCCCAAATTTTCTTTCAAATTATTTTTGAGTATTTTATAAAAAAGGGAGAAATCTCGGTATCCAAAGCTCAGCTCCTCTACTGCCTTTTTGCGATATTGTTTTAGTTTCTGTTCCACATTATTTGCCCAAAGCTGTCCAAATGTGCATGGCATTGATAGGCCAGGAGCATTTGGCTAATCCAGTCACATCTCTCACATCCCATGAGTGCAGATCAAAGTTGGACAAACAATATGGAAGTGAAACTTGCTAGTAACATTTGCCTGTCCTCTATAGTCTCTATGGGACTGGAAAGAAAGTACTTTTTGATCTTTTCTCAATTCCTCTCTCTCTCTTGCTAGGCAGCCATTTTTTGCTGTGTTAAAATTCAATGCGCCCAAAGACTCTTTGCATCGTATTCACCAATATAAGCAGTAGTGTCCCTTCAAACCCTCCCCTCTGAGCTTTACCTGCATCCTATTGACACATGTAAAACACTGATATAACAGTGTAGATTTCTATAGTGATAGATCAGGCCCCACAATCAGCAGGCTTGGATTAAAGGCACTTAGGACTGCTCACCAAAAACTGAATTTGCATTGGCACATTCAGAGAAAATCCTTTGGACTACAGCTGTGAAAAAGTATAAATTCAAAAGGTAAAGGAGAAGCTGGCAAACGTTTTTGCACCCTATCAATCAGAAAGGGCCTAAAGTGAGGTTCTCGGTTTTCCTCACACCATGTGCAGTCGTTGATATAGTACAAGGGCCTGTAGCTGCCTATCTCCCCATCGCGTCCTATGGAATGTCGGTTAATAAACTTAAAAGGTAGAATAAAACCTCACTGAATCATTTTGGGTGAAGCCATTGCACAACGGTCCCCTTAATGTGTGGCAGGTAAGGGATTACCACTGTTTTGGTCGACGTTATGTCTACCTTGAGGACTCCTCACTTCTAAGCAAACAGAAAGACCATCTTTAGGGAGTAAGCATGGTCCAATGTAGTCAGATGTCCATTTCACACAATACGAAAAATAAAATTAATTGCAATTCATTCTGACTAAGGGAGAGTTAATTTTCAAGGTGAATATCTTTGCTTTTGTGTCTACTGTAAAATCCAATCTGAAAGCTGTATTATTGTCATCAAGAAGGCGGATACTTGTGTACTTAAAGGGTTCGAATGTTTTACTTTGTCTTTGTGCATTTAAAAATAGATTGAGCCAATCCCTTGTATAGCAGAGAATCATGCAGCAATATATATATTGTCAGCTCTAGGAATCCAGTAAAATGTTAGCAGTAGTTATTAGATATCAGTTAGGTAATATTGCCTTTTACAGCTTGATTCTGTGACAGATCGAGGTATAAACTGATCACAATGTGTGTGTTCCGTCTTGGATTTGTAAGTAAAATTTACTTTTGTATATTCTATGTTGTGCTGCAAGATTCTGAAGATCGTGTGTTGTTCTCTCTCTTAGTAACCCCAGAGGCAATCGGCTTTCTGTCTGCAGTGGGAGTTTTCATTGTTCTGTTAGTCATACTCTTTCTCTTCATCAACAAGAAGTTGTGCTTCAAGAAAGTTGGAGATCTTCCGTGTTTGGGTCAACAAGGGAAAAGAAAGAGTTCTAAAGAAAAATCAGGCGTTCTCCAGGGTCTTGGTAAGTCATTTAATCCCAAACTTCCCATGAGATTGTTTTAAAATAAAATGACATCATTATTATAGGCAAACAAACCGACTTACATTTCATAAAAGGTTATACAGAATTGCATTTTGGTTGATTAAAATACATGAAACCCGATAATATTAGTCAGTCTATATTGTTGGGTTAGGTTAGACTTTAAGTATTGCAGGTAACAGACACCATTCAAATAGAGTCTCACTTGTTTTCCCACCGATTTGTGGTGTTAATAGCAAGTCTATAGAAAGAATAACAGGTATGGCCTTTTTTTTGTTCTCATGCTGCTGGACCCTATTCTCCTCTTCTGCTTTTACGTGTGTCTATATCCTTTTATTTAGTCAGCTGTAATTCTTCATCCTGTATTTTTTTATACCTTCTTCTGTATCCAGAGTATTCCCTTCTCCTTCTATCGTCACCTCTCTCTGTGTTACTGTTACCTTTGTATCTACATCTAGTCTATGTAAATGGCACCAGGTAAGCCTCCAACAGTCGAAGTACACCTGTTTTATTCCAGCCTGTCAAGACATGAACAATGCCAAGCTGCCATCTGTAAAATATATCTTGTCTCGAAAATGTGAAGATGCATTGATCTGAAGAATTAATCTTTGCCATGTCTACTAACAATGTAAATTAGCGACTGGGCAGCCATTAATGCTCTGTTGCTAGAAAAAGCCCCATCTGATTCCATGTGCACCTGGGGTGGGGGCACGTGGGGAACTATGTCTCCCCCATTATTTCTTGCAACTGGGCAGCAATAGCTATGGTTATGCAATTACCTCCTGAATTAGCCATGAGTATTCAATTTAAAATTGGGGGATTAGATTTGCCTTGGGTTCTTGTAGTATATGTGGTTTTATCGTGGGCCACTCCAAGAAATATACCCAGTTTTGTTTAGTTTCTATTAAAGTGAGAATTCAATTCAAAATGAATTTAAAATTTATGTTCAAAATAGCCAGAATGGAAAATTTTTCTAAGTCCACTCTAAGTTCAGCTCGACTACTCTGGCCTTAAAATTGAAATTGACTTTGAATTATGACTTTAGTTAATAACCCTGAACGTCACCGTGTCTTCTCGCGTGTGAACAACGTGTAGGGCAGAAACTCTGACTGATACGGTGTCTCAGCCAAGAACAATCTTATTCTGCTTCTGCCACTCTCTGTCCTTCTCATACGACAACGCCCTATCCCATCTCTCTGCCTTTCTATCTCCCTAAGCTGAATTCTAGTCTTCATTTCTACAGGATGTCTTCCCACCTTTATAAAGAATGCAAAATTGCCATTCCATAAAGACTGCATTGTAAAGAATTATGTGTAATTACAGCGCTACGGAATCTGATGGCGCTATATAAATAATAAAATAATAATAATAAAGATGGTAATGTTTTAGAGACCAAGTAAAAATGAATTATACGCTTTTGGAGCCTTTAATGAAACGGTCAACTGTAATATAACATAAGATTTAGATCTATAGATCAACAAGTGACAGGGGATAGACAAGTGATTTTACAGGTTTCATTATAGGAAATGTAATTAGTGTAATTTAATAATAAAAGAAAATTAAATCCTGTTTCATTGTCTTCTTGGCCACCCGTGTGTCTGTCTTTTTTTCTGTGTCTGTCAATTGTAACGGTGAACTTTTCTTGGTGAGTCTTACTCTTTCTATCATTTATTAGACTGGATTTTGATACTAACTATAAGAGGGTCTAGTTTGTGTTCAGTTTCTTCTTGTGATGTTAAAATCTGTTGGTGTGAGCATATACTGTTTTTCAATATTGTTGTGTGCGCTTCTTCCTGTTTTGGCATATCTTTTCACTAATTGTCTTCTATACAACATTACCTTGTATCTCTGGCAGTAGGAGCTCTGTACATTGATTTGTTCGCGAGAGTTAAGAAATAGGCACTCGGCACCAGTGTGTGCTGCCTAAAAGGATCCCCAATGTAGTTCATAAAATCCATTTAAAAAAAAATAAGGTCTTAACTCTACATAGAACTAAATTCATATTTATGCCACCATCCATGACCTGGCAACATTTTCACCGGCTCAGATCATTGTCTCACCGAAGACAAGACCTCAACTGGTTCAATCACTGCTTGGTATACTCTTGATGGTGAAACAAATTGTCAGAATCACATGATCTTGCAGCTTTGTCATATGTGTTTTTGCAATAACGGTTTAGAAAAGTTATGAGTCAGCTTAAAGATTGAAATAAATAAAATTTGAATTTTAGGTCATGTTTCCATTTGAGTTAGGATTTCTGAGGCTAGACCAAATAATTTTAAACCTCTAAAGTATAATGTATAATTTTCACACTTCAATATTAATATGAGCTAAAGCCCCCCACCCCCTTTTTTTATTTTTTAGATTTATAGTTGCTACATATGTTAAATTTTTAAAAATATGCTATGCACTGTGCAGTCATCTTGTACCCTATGGAATAATTATTGATTGGACTGTAAAGGAATGCATTAATCTCTTTAAATGACTGCTGGAAAGTCTGTTATAAAAATGGGGTTTGGGTTTGGGAACATTGAAGTTATGCAGGTATGTTGGCATCCCCTTGGGTACAAGTCGATAGGTTTTAAAATGAACTGTGAAACAAAGTGTCCATAATTTTAATGATGCTTATTCTGTAGCTCGCAGAACTAAAACTGTGGCCTATTTGCACAACTGAACACCTGAAGTTCTTAAGATCATCTCATTCTGGTCATGGTGGTAAACATGGCCTCTCAGAATTTCTTCCAGCCAGTCTCATCGTGGATCTCCCGCATGTGTGAAGCCGTTCATATTACAGGAGAAGGCTCTATATCAAACTCAGTCGCAAACCTAAACAAAACTCAGTCAGCGGGCGACAGCGAAGACGACTCTGAATTTGAGGAAGAACTTTATGTAGAGCCGGAAGAAGATTCTGAGGAAGAAGAAACATGCTTTTCCAAAGAAGATTCAAGTATGCTCCAAGAAGAATCTCCTACAGATATTTCTACTACGTCTAAACGAATGGGCAGAGAGAATGAAGAAACCAGCTGGCCAGATACTCTTCCTTCAATACCAGAAGAGGAAGAAGAATCTTTATTCAGTCAGAGAAACGGCACTGATTATTCTACACTGAGCAATATAGGAACTATTAGTGGTAAGCAATACTTTGCAGGTAAGATCTATGTTTGTGAATTAAGGCCTCCAAGACATTTTTTCTATTAGCAAATACCCCTTGTTTCAATAATATTTATCTGCTGCAGATTCAAATCACATTTTAAAATGGGCTAACACAACAGTAACAACATCTTATTTAGGAAGTCATGTCTCTCGGGCAAATATATGATCGGGACTTATTTCCAGTTTTGTGATGTCCCCGCAATGAGTTGGTCATGACCCTTCAATGAGTATAATTAATGCAATGTAGAAAAAAACAAAAAAAACAACCACAACATATATATTCCCACCACAATCTAGTTTTGCATAGGGTGTCACGTCACCATCTGTCAGAATCATTGAGTAGCAGGTGGTTAGTCAACATTCAGCTCTTCCAAGCAATTCTGCTGCCTTGACCATCTTGCATACCCCCTGGATTCTAAGATGTGTCATTTTGTATTATGTAAATAGTTGGATGAAAGGAGAAGCACGTGTTCTGAAAGCCAATAGCACTTCTGTAATAGGTGCACAGTGACATAACATCAGCAAAACAAGTGAATTTATGGAGGTTCCTTCTTCAAACCAACTGTGACAGAGGATGTATGAAGATGAAACAGGCTAAATTAGAAGTTCTACTTTCACGTCACCTTTTGTCAAAAAGAATTAGATATATAGGTATATAAGATAGAGCAGATAGATCATATAAAAAAAAAAGTAAAAAAAAAAAAAAGTTACAAAAAAAGTATTTGACCAGGAAAAATAGATTTAGCTTGTGGTCGTTTTTCAAATACGTCCTGGGAACCAGATGTTATTATAGTTGATACAAATTGGCTTTAAAAAAAAAAAGCAAATTGGCTTTAAAAAAAAAATACTCTCAGAGTATTATGGATTCTGAAGTGGTATTATATTTTAAAACACAATTTTATACAATATGAAACACCAGCCTATTTTTGTGTTTTTAACAAATCCTGAACTTGGCAAAAAAACCTTGAAAAGAAAAAGGAAAGCAGTACATCTCCTGCTATTGTATGTTCTTTCTTAAAGGATCCAGTGACAGGCAGTGCATATATTTCATGTAAAATATTTGTATGTAAAAATTCTCATGACCTATTTTCCATAGCCTAAGATATTTTAACGCATATTTTAACGCATTAATTAAAAATAAATTAAATAATGAGATGGCATATTACAAGAAAGATTAAATGAGATACTGAAAAAATGTTATGATAGTGTTCCTTTAATGTTACCATTGTTAACTCTGTTGCCTAAAGCATGGAAACAAATGGTTTGCATTCATTGCTTAGATACTTCATTTACACAGGAGAGTAATCCTGAAAATACATTGTAAGGCCATCTGCCGTGCCCGTATCTTCTTGCTGTCCCGGAAAAACATCCGTGCCTTGCTACAATACATGCAATCATCTCACTCCCTACACAGATCCATGTACTGCCTTATCTACACACACCAAACAGACCTTTGCTCTCAGGTGCCACCACCTGCTGTGGATACATAGTTAAAGTAAGGTAAAAGCAGAGTATGGTCTCATGTTGACTTTTTAACAGTGCTCTCTATCAGCATGACCACTACGGCTCTGTGTATAGCGCCACTGGGCGCATTTTTAACGTACGTCACAAAATTGTGAATCTATCTTTTTAATCCTCGAAATGCAGCACATATGATTAAAGAGTAAAGGAAGAATACCCTGTATATGCCAAATGATGTGCATTTGAACGCACATTTAATCCATGTCCAGTATTGTCAAACTTCTCTATGGTGATAAATGACATATAGTACTTGGGTCTTACTATGTAGATATTGTATCTCAGCAGCTTACACTTGCTCCATTGTCAGTGAGGTTATTAGTTTACATTCAAAGCTACGATAAGCATGATTATAGCAAATTAAGGCCCTAACCTGGCAGTCATCCTATTATAAAATGAATTATAAAGACACACTAAGATCCTGATGGCTATTGTGTGATAATAAATCAGTCTTTTTCTAATCCGAGTATCTCTGAAGAACACAATGTCTACATTTCTCCCTGTTTCGCAGTTCAGAAGGTCTATTTAGAATAGCAGCTTATAAAATAAACTGGCAGAAACAGAAAGAGATGCTGAATGCTTTTTGTTTCCATGGAAACGGTTTTGGATACTTTTATTTCGAGCTTTTGCTAAATTAACAGAGAAACCGGGCAAACCTAAATTAGTCTTCAGGAATAATACGGCAGGCTTAAAGCACTCAGAAACCATCTTTCTTTTCTCTTTAATTGTGGTTCCTGAATACCTTTAAGTACCTTTACTTAGTTCTTATAAAAATACAGTTAGCTGTTCTATGGGGTTATTATTTTATTTTTATTTTTTGTAGTTCATTGCAGGAAATGGCCAGATATTCTGCCAACCTGTTCTGCACTGAAGGCACCAAGAAATTAGCCAAAGTCTAAAATTAAAACTGAATGTAAAGATTTAGGCAAAAATAGATGATCTAGATAAAGTATCCAATGCTGCTTTAGTCACATTTTTTTGAATTTAAAGTAGATCTGTCACTGTCTTGGGAATTTGCATAACTTGCAATGGTGGTATCGCCGCTGGTGGTCTGGTGGCCGGGAAGGGGGGGTGCAGGCAAAGGTGAGTTTTACTTACCTGAACCTGTCTTTCGCCAGAACTGCTTCTGTAGAGCCAGGAATCGGCATCACTGCTATACTCTCGCACATCCGCAAGAATCCAGCATTGAGATCCCACAAAGTCCTCCATAGAAAAAGCTCAATTACTTACAGTAGTCAAAGGTGATGGCTGGGGGAAATGACATGGCTTGAGGGTGGTAGCTGAATCCAGAATCAAATCATTGTCAGGTGGAGGAACAATACTGAGTCAAAGTAGTCCTTACTTTGTCTCAGTATATATTTTCACTGGGCTGGATTTTCAATGGAATTCCAACAGTCATTATGAGTATATCATAAAGTTTCTATGTTTATGAAATATTAATTTTGCATGGGGAGTGTATGTGTGTGTAACAGTCCGCTTTAATTTGAGAAAAAAATGTAGTTAAGTGAATAATCTTGATAATATTGAATATATCTATCATATGCTCCTAGACAAATGGATTATTTAGAAAAATAGGTGTTGCATTCATTTTTTATGCATTTGCTTCTCGTATTTGCACTTATTTATACTCTTAGTTGTACCGAAATTTTCCTTACTATGTCTTTTTCATCATCTCATTTCCCTGTTCCTATGTTGTTCTAATTTGTTTGACACATGTTTTGCTTCCAAGAAAAGGTGAGCAGTGCCACCATCCTTCCTTTTTAATGTACAGAAATAGAACAATCAAAAATGCCAATGAAAGCTTGCCGTATTCTGTAAATATAGCCAATGGTAAAAATCAACAGGAAAGGAAAAAAATCCAAAAGAGAAAATGGCAAAAGACAGATAATTTTGGTACACTACAGAAAATACAGACATAAACGTCACTATATATTATATATATATATATAAAGGGTAGAGTAACAGTCTACTTCATATTTAAGCCAGTTTTTGTGAGTGTAAATTTAATATGAACGCAAATGTGACAATTTCTATACATAACCCCTATTATGTCTTTGTATCACTCCTTATAACTGTAAGAAAGAAGTTTTTACCGTGTGATTGTATTCTATATTCCTATATTGTATTACAGGGTATTTATCCTTGCTGTAGAACACCTGTGACATGAAATTCTTTCTGCGATGCACATCATTAAGATGATGATTATTGCAGAATTGCTTAGTCAATAAACAGAGCATTGTGGTAAACAGAGACCCGAATTGAACACATTCTCAAATTCATCAGTTTTCTGAATTTTTGGGATTTGGTTTTTAGTTCACAATTTACTCTTGGGGGATTAAAAGTGTTAATGGTTTAGTAACCTGGCGAGTAAACTAGGTTGTAGAACTGAACATCTGATATGCTTACAGGCAGCCCTGTTAGCCATGATGAACTGGTAATCTCATAATCTCCAATTCAGCACATAGATTGATCAGGTAGATCTAATGGGTAGGTAGATTTTATTGAGCAATATCGATCGATCAATCCAGCTATCCTGCTTCTTACAGTTCACCAAATTAAGTCTGGAGAATGTGTTTTGATGTCCATACTTGGTTTGAGTTCATCAACTCTCATGGATCACGAAGCTCATGCTGATATGGAACAAAATCTTCCAATATACAAAATGTGTACGCAATCATGTTGTACATTAATAAAATAATAATCGTCTCTATAGACAATGAAACAAAAAAAAACAAATCTAAAACATGTGAATGAGGGTTATTTACAAACACATTTCAAACTTTTGGATTTTTTTAGTCTACAGTGTGAAATCCCCTGGTCTGATTTCACAGTTTAGAGAGTAACCTTGTACATATATCTTGGGCTCATCACTATACTGGGATAATTTTATCAGTAGCGAGAATTAAAAGGAACACACTGGGCACCATAACCACTTAATCAAAATTAAATTGTTATGGTGCCAGGAGGTCCCTTGAGCTGGCTTACCTTTAGGGGTTAAACCGTTCACAAATAGTTTAGCACCAAAGTCTCCTCTCAATCGCCATTTCTCTGTGTCCCCTCCAACATCCGCTTTCTAAAAACCTTCAATACAGAGACCAGACTGCCTCAGCAGGGCAGGGGTGCAGCTGATTGTCTTACATCGGTTAGCCGACGCTCTAAACGTCAGTAGCCCCACATTCTTAAAAAATAAAAAAAATAAAAAAACGGCTTGAGAAACATACATATTTTACACAAGAGGTTTTCTGAAGTTGTTGAAGTTATGGTGTCTGGCAGATCCCTTTAAAGCCAATGGCAGTCAAAACCTTTATACACGTACCTAGTCACATACACTGCAATTAATATAAAACGCTCTTGTATTCCTCCGTTACTCAACATTATTGGTGTACTCCATACCAAAAAAAAAAATGCTGTGGGTTTTTTAATTCTGATAATTACAATGCTCTTAGAAGAATCATATTGCCTTTTATTTCTTAAGTCTCGCTTTGTTTTCTGTAGCGAAAGCATTCTGATTGCCAGCAGAATTTAAAAACATGTATTATGCTACCCAACCATTTCCACGCAAGCCTTTTCTAAAGGGCCCTGCTTTCTTTCAAGGACATAAAAAACACCACTTCTGTAGCGCACCCTGTCTTTTAAGAGTTATTGTATAAGTAGCCTTTAGATGGAACAGCAGGCTTACATGCTGTGTATAATATTCGTTGGCGTTGAACATAATGTCTAAAACGGGAGAGGGGGAAGTAGAAAATATATCTAAACCCTTCCACTTTTGCCTGATGTCATCATTTGCTTTATTCAAACAGCTGAAGAGTGTAGAAGAGAGGGAAAAAGCATTGGTGATAAGACACTTCTGTGCGCACACACATGAGAATACTTTGTAGCGATCCCAAGCCTCCGGCTGGATGGGCACCATGGGTGTTGAAGATAATGGTGGCAGAAATGTATAGAGTTGGGTATCTCTCAATATATAGAAATAAAACATTACTATCTGCCGTCAGTGACGGATTGATAACTTTTTTCTACTTTTGTTTGGTATCAGCAAAATCTATCAGAATCCAAACTTAAGAAAACCATTTTTTTCTTCCTGGTAAAAGCACAAAAGGTATAAAACTTTGAGTTAAAACTGGGCCTAAAGCATGATTTCATTGTTGATCTCCGTGTGTCATGAGGGTAATAAGGAAAAAAATAAAATGGCGCTTTTGAGGGGTTTCCAACTACGTTGCAGCTTAAAGATGCATTGAAATGCAGATAGGTAATAGGTGTAAGATTAGCCCAATATGTTCCATATGGTACTATAGTCTATAGGATGCTGAAACAGACATATTGTATACATGGATTTGTTATGTTAGCTTATTTTTAGAGTTATATTTTACAGCACTTATTTATCCAATAATTGACTCAATTAATTATTAGTTAATGTTGCTTGTATATGTCGTCAAGTCAGGGGTGGAGTTTGTATGGTTGATTCTACTTATGCGATATCTTGTAGAACTATTTTGGAACATTGGTTATATGTTAGAAGAGTGTTCTCAAGTCACTTTATATCGCTGTTTATTTGATTGCCATGTTAAAGTACAGCTAAAGGACACCCTGGAACACTGAAGCACTTAATCTTCCTGAAGTGCTTTATGTGTGAAGAGTGTGTCCTATTTTTCCTTTTGCAAAAACGGCAGATTTCAATACTAATTTACACTTTTATAAACAAACCTTGTTGCATCCTCCTGGCTGACAATCAGATAACCGATCCTGTTTCTTCCTGGTTTGGTTAGCTCAGTTGCACTGAACTCAAGAAGCAGCCTTGCAAAGACTTCACATTGAGCTGCATTGGGAAACCTGTGATTGGACAGCCACAGGAGGTCTGGGTGGGGTTAGAAGGGGAGGACTTGCAAAGGCTGTAGACAAAAGATTTACCGCTTTTTGAAAGTCCTTTCATATTCCCAATGAGAAATGGATAACTAAATGCATGCATGGTTTTAGTTTGGTATAGTTACTTAACTGAAATTTGTATTTACTTTACTGGGGCAGTGGAGTACCCCTTTAAGTCCCCTTCTGGAGAATTGCTATCACCAAAGCTTGCTGCTGGCTTAAAGGGACACTGCACATCACTGAAGCACTTTAGCTTAAACTCATGATGCAGTGGAGTGTCCCTTTAAGGCCAGAAGTAGCCAAACTGTAAAAATTATCCAAATTAGCCGTGCTTACAGTCCGTCTACTTTGTCATTAAATGTAAAATTTTCTTTCAATGCAATTTGAATTGCTGGCAATTCTCACGTTGGTAAATAACGTGGTCTGTCTGCCTCTCGGCATCTATCTACAGAATTTGCCCTTTTTTTCCCACTTTGTCTAATAGTGCAAGGTGTTCACACACAATCAGAAGCATTCCAAGGGGCAATGCGATTTCACAAATGAAGAAATACCATTCATTCTTATGGGGCTATTTGTATGAGCAAGGACTAGGGTTGATTTTTTTTCGTTTTAGTATTGATATGACTTGTTTTAGGGTCTCATTTGCATGAATGAACGATGCACGGCTATTTTATGAAGCATGGTTTGGGGAAAAAGATAATGTCAAGAGCCTCTATTGTATCTTTTCCTAGTAACCAGTTATGGGGAGGATGAAGAACTAACTACATCTTCAGACAGTGATGAAGAAGTGTTTAAGCAGTTTCAAATCTCAGTATCACGCTCACAGAGTTTTCGCTCAACAGTATCTGAAAAGGCAACTCAAGCCGGCTCAGAAAATAAACAAAAATTCAACCGTTTGCTCTCAAACCACGAGGAGCAGAGTACAGAGGCCTCTGAATGTGAAGGTATTTTATAACCCCCACTGTCACACACCCCCAAAAAATAAAAAAATTACATTTACTGTTTCACCCTCCCACCCCCCAATAAAGTTATAAAAAACTAAACAAAAAAAACAATAACCATGAAAGCATGTGTCATGAATCTGCAGCATTTGGATGTTTTGAAGCATGAAATATATTTTTTGTTGTGATTTTTAAATATTGTTTACCATGTTTACTTCATTTAAAATTATTTTTATTTTTAAAATTGTTTCACTTTTTCTTTTTAACAGATACTTATTTTTTTCTAGCAATTAAAACTATTTCCAATGAACTTGTAATGTCTTATTTTAAGATTCTGGGGTTCATTTACTAAAGGGTGAGTTCAGTTTAGTTAAAAAAAATGAATTGAGACATATAGAGAGATACACAAGAAAATATTTTACACTATGGACACATGTAAAATATGTGTCATCCACAACAATAAATAGTCCCTATTTTGCAACCAGACTGATGTTATGAACCAGAATAGGGTAACCACATATCTTACTAAAATTATCTGTCCTTTTAAAGTGTTCTATACTTTACAAACCCTCAGGCCAATACAAGGTCCTGTAATAAACTTTAATGGCTTCGAGGTGGGCATAACATTTAAGAAAAAGAATTGTGTAGATATATTTCACCCCAGGTGTACTATACCGCTTCTGACTGATGTCCATAAGAGTGGCAGATACAAGGACAGGGGATAGAAGCTATTGATTGAAAATATAAAAGAAAAAAAAAAATAGAAAAAAAATAAGCAGGAACACAATGCACACACACACACACACAGAAACGTCTAATGGTATTTAACGGACTGTAGCCCACAATAATTTTATTTATTTTAAATTTTATCTGCGTAGATTTGGATGTGCTGAGTTACCAGTCGTATTACGAAGACGATCACCTATCAGTTCACTCAGGACACATATCAGAGGCTGGAGAAGTCCAAAATGGTTCAAGACAGGAAGCAGAGTCTCACTGTAGTGTTAGTCGTCAAGTCACTGATGGAGGACAGGAGATGGAAACGGCTTTTAGCAACAATGGGTTTGAAGGAAATGATGCTACAGACAGCTCCTCTGCATGGAGCCCAGAGGTAGGACCTTTTTAACTGTACATCTCTCCCCTTCTTGTTGTGAGCAGGCCTACTTATCCAAATGATTTGGTTTAGATGGCTGAATTTAACAGACCAATTGTTGCGGGTTGAGTCCTTTAGGACTGGCATAGGCTTTGTGCGCATGCATATATTGTTACTAGAACGCACACAGAGTACTACTGCCGTAACTTTACATGGGCATTGAATTAGTGACTGAATTTGTTCATCCACTTTTTGCTGCTAAAGTAAACATAATGAGCTGCATTGGATACAAAAATTAAAAAGGTTATTATTTCTTGCTTTGTATTTAGTCAATTTTTTTTTTTTTCCCCCAAATATAGTATTTGTATAATTTTAGGGCAAATTTTCACTAGCTGCAAGCTTTGTCATCTTGTATTTTTCATCCATTTATCTTAAACTAATTCAATATTCGCTCATTTCAAAATTCTGTACCCTTTAGTCAGTCTTCCCACTTGGCACCAATCCTTTCTTCATGTATTCTCTTCCCAAGATACGTATCCTGACTTCCTTTCTTATTGAGTCTATCTCCACCAATTTAATTTCCTTTACAAATAAGTCACCCTCGTAGTCTCCCTCTCTCATTCTAACACCTTCCACCTAATCTTCCCAATTAATCTTCATTTAATTTCCTTCTCATCATACACCACCCTATGACGTCCTTCCATCTCCCATCCTTGTTCTATAACATCCATTCACATCGAATCTCTTCCTCCTCATTTATTTTCCACCAACATTTAATTTCCCTTAATAGTCAGCTCACCCTCATACACTACTTATTCCAACACCACATTCTCTTCCACCACAATCACCTTATCCTACCCATCTTTCAAACACAGAAAATCATATTCCCCCAGTCCTTTATCTCCACCCAGGTTTTTTTCATTGATGGTAAGTAGGCCCTGCCCAGGTCACCCCATTACTACTCGATCTTCCTGCATGCTCTGTAGATAGAATGAGAAGAGGCTAATGAGGGACTTCATGATATATTCTCCTGCCATCCATTAATAAGAACACCATGGTCACACAGTCCTGGTGAGTGATGGAATAAATTAGAAGTAACAGGGTGGTATAGAGCAGCAGTAAGTGTTCCTTGAATAGGAAAACCACCAATGGTATTAGGCATTATTACTGCACCGCGTCTACCTTATCATACAAGTTACACGCTGGTAGGCCAAGAAAAACACATATGTTATAACATAAAATGGCTACGAGTCCCAAACAGGCGCCGGACGAGCTGCCATTTGGACAGCACTAGATTACAGTATTCAATACTTCACGTGTATAACCATCCATACATTCACTGGCAAGCAATTCTCTGACAGCTACAAAGATAAAATAGAGTGTGCTACTAAATCACGATCAACATTTTCATTTATAACCTTTGGTAAAACAATGCTGATGTCCAATTTCTGTGATCTCGATACACTTTAAAATGACATATCTCCCAACTTAGGGAGGTAGGAAAATGGGACAGATGTGGGAGGGCTTCGGGTGATACAACGTGCACTAATGAGCCAGCTTTAATAACTTTAATAAGTTGCAATTAGAATAAACAAACTATGAGCTGCCTTGAAAACAAAAAAACAAAACAAAAACAAAGACGTCCAGGAATTGGCTTTCACATAGACAGCCTCAATGACAAATCCAGAGAATTTCCACAGAAATAGTGTTATATATACAAAACTAGTCTCTTCAAACACTTAAAGGGAAGTTATAGTTCCAAGAATACAAAGTAATATTGGTAATAACAACGACTGACAAGGAGCTAAGATGGAGGCGGCTCTCTCTATACTGACTGCCAGGTGTAAAGGGCGGAGCTTATAACAATGATTGACAGGGAGCTAAGATGGAGGCGGCTCTCTCTATACTGACTGCCAGGTGTAAAGGGCGGAGCTTATAACAATGATTGACAGGGAGCTAAGATGGAGGTGGCTCTCTCTATACTGACTGCCAGGTGTAAAGGGCGGAGCTTATAACAATGATTGACAGGGAGCTAAGATGGAAGTGGCTCTCTCTATACTGACTGCCAGGTGTAAAGGGCGGAGCTTATAACAATGATTGACAGGGAGCTAAGATGGAGGCGGCTCTCTCTATACTGACTGCCAGGTGTAAAGGGCGGAGCTTATAACAATGATTGACAGGGAGCTAAGATGGAGGTGGCTCTCTCTATACTGACTGCCAGGTGTAAAGGGCGGAGCTTATAACAATGATTGACAGGGAGCTAAGATGGAGGTGGCTCTCTCTATACTGACTGCCAGGTGTAAAGGGCGGAGCTTATAACAATGATTGACAGGGAGCTAAGATGGAGGCGGCTCTCTCTATACTGACTGCCAGGTGTAAAGGGCTGAGCTTATAACAATGATTGACAGGGAGCTAAGATGGAGGTGGCTCTCTCTATACTGACTGCCAGGTGTAAAGGGCGGAGCTTATAACAATGATTGACAGGGAGCTAAGATGGAGGCGGCTCTCTCTATACTGACTGCCAGGTGTAAAGGGCGGAGCTTATAACAATGATTGACAGGGAGCTAAGATGGAGGTGGCTCTCTCTATACTGACTGCCAGGTGTAAAGGGCGGAGCTTATAACAATGATTGACAGGGAGCTAAGATGGAGGTGGCTCTCTATACTGACTGCCAGGTGTAAAGGGCGGAGCTTATAACAATGATTGACAGGGAGCTAAGATGGAGGCGGCTCTCTCTATACTGACTGCCAGGTGTAAAGGGCGGAGCTTATAACAATGATTGACAGGGAGCTAAGATGGAGGCGGCTCTCTCTATACTGACTGCCTGGTGTAAAGGGCGGAGCTTATAACAATGATTGACAGGGAGCTAAGATGGAGGTTGCTCTCTCTATACTGACTGCCAGGTGTAAAGGGCGGAGCTTATAACAATGATTGACAGAGAGCTAAGATGGAGGCGGCTCTCTCTATACTGACTGCCAGGTGTAAAGGGCGGAGCTTATAACAATGATTGACAGGGAGCTAAGATGGAGGCGGCTCTCTCTATACTGACTGCCAGGTGTAAAGGGTGGAGCTTATAACAATGATTGACAGGGAGCTAAGATGGAGGTTGCTCTCTATACTGACTGCCAGGTGTAAAGGGCGGAGCTTATAACAATGATTGACAGAGAGCTAAGATGGAGGCGGCTCTCTCTATACTGACTGCCAGGTGTAAAGGGCTGAGCTTATATCAATGATTGACACGGAGCTAAGATGGAGACGGCTCTCTCTATATTGACTGCCAGGTGTAAAGGGCGGAGCTTATAACAATGATTGACAGGGAGCTAAGATGGAGGTGGCTCTCTCTATTCTGACTGCCAGGTATAAAGGGCGGAGCTTATAACAATGATTGACAGGGAGCTAAGATGGAGGTGGCTCTCTCTATACTGACTGCCAGGTGTAAAAAGGTGTCGATTTCTACATTTAAATTTTTTTTTTTTTACAGTTTACAGATACATATTTATTAAATAAGGGATAAGTACCCATGGGTAGTGACGGTTCCCCTTTCAAGTTTAATGACAACTTGAACTGTTCACTAAAAAAAATCTGTATTTATGGAGGGGGATATTGTACCGAACAGATTGTATCTAGTTGAAATAAAGTTGTTGTTTTTTCCTAAATGAAATTAAGAAGATTTTTTAATACCTTTTTTGTACGTTTCAAATTATGCAACAAATATATCTTAAATAAAAATAAACATATCATGTAAATAAATACACTCTTCTTTTTCCATTGATACGTCTTTACTCTATTTGATAAATTGAATTTATGTTTAATAACATAAAAGCTTAAAAAAAAATTGCAATCAAATTCATGTTTATTTGTTGAAAAAGTATCTCCTAAGCTGAATTTATCTTTTCTAGCATGGACCCTGTGCCAGATCTGTTTACTGAACAACGTGCCCTCGGATCATTATAACATATAATCCTATTTAGTCTAGTTTTTATTAAGATAACTGGTCTCCATGGAAACTATTGCATCACCGATATTCTGCCCCGTTTATATTCTCACTTTAAATGAGCGAAACAATCTCTTATCAGTGAATTATTTTGAATACAGAATAAATTGTTCTGTCCTTTTTCTTAGAATTTATTGGGCTTGTATAATAAAAATCCAGAAAATAAACCGCTTTCCTGTAATTAAACTATTTTCAAGTGAAATTAAATGACTATGAAATGCCATTTTACCTTATGATTAAATATAATCCATTGTTAGACTGTAATATAGCATACTGTTTAAGAAAAAAAAAAAAACTTCAGAGAATTTCATAACTTCTGTACTGAGCCATTAATGCTTTAACCCCTTAAGGACTAAACTTCTGGAATAAAAGGGAATTATGACATGTCATGTGTCCTTAAGGGGTTAACATCTTTTTTATTATAAGCACCTGCCCTATGTATTGCCCCAAATTTATTTTAAGCAGGAGGTAATTATTATAAATAGGGCACAAAGGACAGTTCGTTTTTACATTCATACCACCCATCTATCAGTTACGATCACATCTGCTGGTGAATAATTGCCAGAGGTCACAACCTTAAAGGAATACTCCAAACACCATAACCACTACAACGTGCCACTAAAGCCATCGCATACACACCAGGAGTGAATGTCTATTCACCAACGATTATTGGAAATTTTGAGCCATATAAAACAGAGAAAACTAACAGACCTTTTCTGTATATTTTAGTTTTTACATTCTTACTATAAAAAGTTAAACATATATTCCTCCACCAAAATAAATATAAAAAAAAAGAAAACAAAAAGTGTTTTGTTTTTTTCTCCCCAGGAACAAGTTGATGCAGGCCTTCCACCAGTTAGCACCCATGAACCAATTTCAAAATGTGGAGACCTGGATGTCATACTGGATTATAATCCCGCCAAACAAAAACTGTCCGTAACGGTTGTGGAGGCGAAAGGGATTCCAGATAAGGACCGTAGTGGTGTAAACACGTGGCAAGTGCATGCTGTGTTACTACCGAACAAAAAACAGAGGGGAAAGACCACCATTCAAAAGGGACCAACACCAGTCTTCAATGAGACCTTTACATTCCATAAAGTGGATATAGAGGATCTGGCTACCAATGCCGTTCGATTCCGCCTGTATGCCGTGCTCAAGATGAACCGCGAAAAAATGATGGGGGAGAAACTGTTCTACTTAAGTACTATCGTGCCAGAGGGAGAGAACAAAAGGACACTTGTTCTAGAGCCTCGGAGCAACCTAAGTGTAAGTACAGGAAAATGTTAAAGTTATGTCTGGAACTATAGAGCTCAATATGACCTATTACATAGTTACATAGCTGAAGAGAGATAGGTGTCCATCAAGTTCAGCCTCTCACATCTGTTTTTGCTGCTGATCCAAACTAGGAAAAAATTCCTTTTTGACTCCAAAATGGCAGTGAGATATCTCCATGAATATAAAGATACTATTCCACTAATTAAAAATTATATCCCTGAACATTATGTTTTTGCATGTATTTACCCAATTGCTGTTTAGACTTTGATAAAACCACCTCTTCAGGCAGAGAATTCCACATCCTTATTGTTCTTACTGTAAAAACATTTCCTTTGCCTTCAACTAAATCTCCTTTCTTCCAGTCTAAATGTGTGGCTTAGTGTCCTATGTATAGTCCTGTTTATGAATAGATATCCAGACAATGGTTTGTATTGGTCCCGAATAGATTTGTACAATGCTATCCTATCCCTTCCGAGGCACCGTTTGTCAATATTGCATTCAATTATCATTTTCATACAAAGTAGCGCCCAAATCTGGTTTCATAAAAATTTATTTAGTAGTGAGAATCCTTTAGACAAAAAATAGTGCAGGAGGGACGATTTAACCTTCTTTATTAACTAATACCAAGTATTTTTAGATGGTATTAATTGAGTTGTCTGAAAGACAAAAATGACAGAGAGGAAGGGCTTTTAGTAATTTTGGTCTTTCAGCTTTTTAGTAGATAGCTTTTTGGTATCCTAATAGCAATCCCATAAGGATTAGGGAGCTAGCTACGTAACAGCTCCCTAATTTAATACCCTTTAGAATCACTGAATACATATATCACAACCAGTTTAGTGTCTCTTCAAAAGATAAAGTAACACTTGGGCATGGGTTGGGTTGCTAGATCATTATCTTTTTGGGGTCATTTATGATTTCTGCATTCTGTTAAGCAGGCCTTGAAAGTGCTACCCACTTTGGAATGTGGAATTCATATGGTCGTGATGTGAATCCTACTTTACACTTAATATCCATGTTTACAATTTGTGTATTTATAATATGTTGTTTGTTATTTTTTGCCCCAGACCGGAGATTCTCAGTTTAGTTTTACTGCAATCTCTCAAAGCGACAGTGCGTCATCCACGCAATCCTTGTCTCATGGCGGTGTGCCAGAGCTACTTGTAGGCTTGTCATACAACGCAACGACAGGAAGGCTTTCTGTGGAACTCATTAAAGGCAGCCATTTTCGGAACCTTGCCATTAACAGGCCTCCCGGTGAGTAAACCCACCACCAGTGAGTCAACATTTCACTCAGCTGAGAATAAAATCATTTACAAGTTTTAAACTCACTCAAGGTTATTTACTAAAGAATGAATTCAAAGGGAATTATAAATTTAAGGTCAAAATATCCAAATTTATTATTATTTTTTTAAAGTCAGCTATGCTTTGAATTCAGCTACTCTGTTCATAAAAAAGTTTTTTGTTGAATAAAGGTTTTGTTACCAGATGCAATGAATCACATTTAGCAGGTGAAGACAGGTATCATCAGCAACAATTATTTTTAGGAAATTAAGTTATATGAATAATCAGCCATGCAGGACTGATCTACAATTTGCAAGAAAGATAAACGGGGACTCGAGAGACCTTTTAGAATGGTCATAAGATTACTGCAGACAGATCGCACATGTAGCAAGAGGCAGCGTTCTGTTCCCTGTAACCAGTTTAGCTAGGACAGTTTAGCTGTCCCAGGGCGAGTTGCCGGAGTAGGATGCCCCTCGTGAATTTCACATTTAATTCACACTACAATAAATAACCCAACATTTTGTATTATGGGTAGACCTAGAAAGATAGCAGCCAGAAGATATTGTATGAGATAGTGAGGAACTTATTTGGCTACCAACAATGTGATGTAAGTGCAAATACTTTTTTGGACTTTTTCAGGGAACAGTTTAAAACAGTATCTAAAAACAAGCTTTTAATATATAAATAGCTTGATTGTATTTTAATAATTGATTTCTCTATTATATTATCCCTCAATGATTGTTTATAATATATGCGAAAGATGGGGTACATTGACGTTGTGGCAGGTTTATGCAATGTATTATCATATAATATAACTAAACCCCCATTATTTTTGCCTAGATTAGGTGTTTTTTTTTTTTTTTAAATCTGTCAGCCTTGAAGTTGCTGTTTAGTGGATAAGTGAGTGCACTTGATCTTGTGTATTGTATAATTTGGAACCCAGCAGCACCCCATTTATGCATGTTCAGGTGAGTGTCACCCCCTGGTTTCATATTATATATATTATTATTTGGGAGTATAGCCAAGTCCTTGGTTTTGAACCTCTCCCTGTCACAGGTTCCTGCAGAGAGCCCCAGGTGGATTGTTTTGCCCATGTATGTGGGTTAATCTCATAAGAGCATAAGAGCAGACATTAGGCTGTTAGAGTATTACCTGCCAAAGATGGGGTACATTGACGTTGTGGCAGGCTTATGCAATGTATGATCATATAATGTAACTAAACCCCCATTACTTTTGCCTAGATTAGGTGTTTAAAAAACAAACAAAAAACTAATAAAATCTGTCGGCATTGAAGTTGCTGTTTAGTGTATAAGTGAGTGCGCTGGATCTTGTGTAATATATATATATACACACACACACACACACACCTGCTGATGTATCAGCATGATATATAAATGCTAATTAAAATACATCCAATGTATAAAATCTTAAAGTGCAATATCAGTTTATTACAAGTAATTCAGTGAAAATAAAATAAAACAAAAAATGGAAAACAAGAAACACACAGTCTCTTAGAAGGTAAAGTTGTGACTTTACATCCGGCATATGCCGTTACTCACTGCCATGCTTGGTAAATAAAGTGCATCCAATTAGGGGTTCCAGCGGACATCTCGAGGTAGCTGTGTTATTATTGCTGCAGTGGATCAGCTCCAGCCGTTTTTGGACAGTGTTCTCAGAGCTCTGCCCTCTACGTATGACGTCAACACGTTTCGCCAAGCGCTGTCAGCTTCCTCAGGACGTAGTGCTGTTCCCTCCATCTTGGAAGAGGGTAATTAAAAGGCATAATAATCCTTGTTCAACGGTTTTGATTTGTGTGCTTGTGAATGCCTCATTTGCATTTAGCAGTCTCTATGTACTGAGTCTTTGAGCACACATATCACATACAAAGTCTTGAATTGTACAAAAGTTTATATGCAGATTAATTTAAAAAGAAAGAAAAGGCAATACCAAAAAATACATATGATAAAACCACATAGAATACAAACACTTACATTTAATTAAAATATCATAATTCCAGACAAAAATATTAATGCATATTCTAAAAAAGGGGAAAAAAGAATTTTTTTATAAATTAATAAATTACACTTAATGCCTTTAAAATTCATACAGTGCACCTATATCAGAAGGCAAGCAGTTAAGGTGGATATGTCAACTGACTTTTTTAATTCGAATTAAAATTAAAACTACATTATTAAAATTTTAAATTAAAAAATTACAAAATGTACTTTAAAAAATGAAGAATTTCCAGTGCATTATACGGGTCGGAGACATCGGATTCGGACGACTCACCTTCAACAAAGGGCGACATCAAAAAGCTCCTCCTAGACCTCCGGGAGATGTGGAAATCGGACTTGACCGGTGTGAGGACAGAAGTAACCGACATGAAGGGGCGCCTGGAGGCAGTGGAAACCCGAGAGGGCCAAAGAGACGCCTTACTGACCAACACCAGAAGGCAAAAGGACGCACTGACACTCCAACTTCAAAGACTCACCCGCTCGGTTACGGCGATGGAGACACGCCACCGCAGAAGAAATGTCCGCATACGCAGAGCCCCTGAAGACATAAGCCCGGAGGCCTTATTGGCCTATGCAAACAAAGTGGCGGTGACAGTGGGGGTTGAAAAGGAGGGAGAAGCATGGCCGATAACGGCAGCGTTCAGAATCCGGAAAAGCCCCGACCGCCCCAGCGGACGCGCCGAGAGACATCATAGCCGTTACCCAAGATGTCACAGTCAAAGCGGCACTGATGGCCTCCTCCAGGAAGACCACGTGAAAGTTTTCGCTGACATCCCATTAACAACCTTTCTGGAGCGGAGAAAATTTATGCCGATCACCCGCCAACTGAGAGACAAGGGCATCAGATACCGGTGGGGAGCAGCAGGCACGCTAGTGGTCCCACAAAAGGACTCAATCCTCACGCTGTCTGCGGATGAAAACCCGGCAAGATTCATCCAGGCCCCCCAGCTGCAGCTGCAAGTACCCACGGACGGGGCCGGCGAGACCGAGAACTGGGAGACTGAGAACCGAGAGAGCAACACTAGGGCGGAGAGGAAGCGGAGCAAACAGCACTCACACAATCCCCTACAGACCTAAACAGGCAAAAGACTTACCCACGATACTTACCAGGTGACACTCACTACAAACCAACTACACGGACGATACTGGCACGCAAAGAAACAGCCCAAGACTACAAACTATGCCCAGACTGACTTGCTTAAACTATATTATGAAAGTCACATAAGTGACCTCAAAGTGCTTTTTTTTTTTTTCCTTCGTTCTTTCTTTTTTAAATACTCACATACCTACTGGCCTAAAGCTCTACACTTTTACACCCTAAAGATGGGGAAGGGCGAAGGGAGCAGAGGGAAGGGACCAATACCACAAAAGTGCAGGATGTACGACCTCAGAGACACAACGACTGCCCCACCAGCCCATGTATGTTCCAGAAACTGTTAATCTCGCGATTGTTATATTTTAGGTTCTTTTCAACCATATGACCAGATGCCACCCCCTTTATATGTCGGGACTCCTGATTTTAATAATGACTGTCACTATAATGTCGACAGATTTAACCACAGCAATGCGGGGCCCAGCACCACGACCTTCAAGATTGTGCTCCTCTGACATTAATTTTACACTGTTAATTTAACACCATGCTGATATTCTATTCTGTTGACCTAGCATTAGAATACTCTCACTCCACTAGAGGTACAAACAGGGGATATTCAGGAGTGTACCCACATTTTATAGGTGTCGTCACCGCTGTTTGCTAAAGTGTGTGTTCTAACTCTATAGGAGCGGTTTACAAACCACACCTGTAGCCATATTAAGACCCCACATAAGATCAGCACACCCAACTAAAGGGCTACACCATAGGCTCTATAAGGGCCACCAATGGGATGAACCTCAGCCCTTTATTTTCTTATTCCTGTTTTTACTCTGTCCTGCAAACTCACGCGAGCGGCCAGTATGCTTTAACCCCTACAGGGGGGCCAGCGCGAAGTGCCATACGGACCACTTTGGGTCCACCTAAGCTGCCAGCATGTTAACCCACATAATCAAGATCCCCAAGGGGCTGATAGCCTGACACTCCAAGCTGCACATCCTAAGTCCGGCTTACCAGCTGGCAAGACATGTTAACTGAGTAAACCCTAAGCCCTCATGAGTCGAAAGTAAGTTATACGGTAATATACACCTTAAGCCTACTAGAGCTGCTAAACTGAGAAGCCAACCCGATATTCTCGAACCCACATGGAATGCCAAAGAGCTACAGTGCACTGCACACTTTGAGTACACATAAGCGGCGGGTGTGATATACAGATTTGTGTTATTACAGTTCCCTCCCTGTACTTGTCACTGAATGCACCAGAGAAGCTAGCATGTTCAACCAAGAAAAACCCATGTTTATTATAATTAATGTGATGTTTAATTTGTATTCCTTTTATCTACCCGTAATGAATATTTGTAAGCTACCATCAAAACTAGTGGGACTGTTCCCACCACAAAAATAAAGAATTATAAAAAAATGAAATATTTCAAAATAATTATTTAGGCCATTTGGGGCCATAGTATTCAAATACTCAGCTCTGAGAACACTGTCCGAAAACGGCTGGAGCTGATCCACTGCAGCAATAATAGCACAGCTACCTCGAGACGCCCGCCGGAACCCCTAATTGGATGCACTTTATTTACCAAGCATGGCAGTGAGTAACGGCATATGCCGTATGTAAAGTCACAACTTTATCTTGTTAGAGACTGTGTGTTTCTTCTTTTCCATTTTTTGTTTTATTTTAATTTCTCTGAATTACTTGTAATAAACTGATATTGCACTTTAAGATTTTATACATTGGATGTATTTTAATTAGCATTTATATATCATGCTGATCCATCATTAGGGTCACTTATATTTAACTATAAAACATTTATACTGCGAAGTTATGTGTTAATATAGTCTATACTACTATTTGTATTTTTGTTTTTTTTCCTATACATGTGACGGGAGTCCTATGCTGGTGACACCTGCTGACCTATAAGTATAAGCAACACCTAGCTATTCCAGCTTTATTTGGGTCTCCTCACCTAAACACTGTTTTTTTAACACTGTGAAAGTTTTTCTGTCATTTTACTGCCCCACTTATTTACACTTTGGTTTAATTTGTATTGTGTGTTGGGGTACAGCACATAAGTGTATTAGCAGCAGTTGTGAAAGTATTAAACGTGGAACATACCAAATTTAAATCTAGCAGCGATCGTAGCATATAAATTTGAGCGCTCCAAAATTAAACAACACCCTAGATTACGTGTAATTAAAATAAAAAGGAAAAATAAAACTAATAAAAGGAATAATAAGCATGTCAACTGAGTGGCAAGGCTGAATGCTGATGAACTGTGTGGGTCTATGGTGGGCTTGCAATACATAATTAGGTTTGAGAACAGGTAGCGTCTGCGACATCTAGCACCTATGGGTATATTGTGAGAAACATATGATAGGTACGATAAACGCTAAGATAACCATTTGTTAATTAGAATGTTGGTTGTCCAACAGGTATAGCTGCTTGTGTTAACCTACACGTGTTTGTGGTGAATCTACATGCTGTAAATTGGTATTAGGCTGGTGTCACCGAGTATAACTAGACCCTAGGTGGGTATAGTTAAAGGCCTAAAGTAGTGACATACAAGAAGAGAAATAAATGCTAGCTTGTTAAACTGGGTCCTAGTAACCTGGAAAAGGCATTAAAATATCTTGGCTACTCACTGACTTGTCAAGGATTAAAAGTGAAAAATGTTGGGCCAAAATAGGACTTCTAAATCACCTGAACAATGATTCAAAATGTGTCTGTGCAAGGCAGACTGAATGTGTGGAGTGACAAAATAGGATGCCCTCAAAGCACTAAGAGAAGCTGCTAAATGGTTTCAGTGAGAAAAAAGATCCCATCACTCCATCTATGTAACATTCAAGTAACCAAATTATATTTGTTTAAAAAATAATATAAGGATTCATCACTCACGGTTAGCAATCTTTTAGTAAGATATCTTCAAGTGCCACCATCATCAAAAGGCGGAAACTCTTTTTTCACAACTTTGGTGCAATTTCACAAATCAAGCTCGATTGGTTGGAAATAAAAAATGTGCAAAATAACACTTAAAATAGACAGGAAGGGATAACAGACTAGGTGCAACCATGAAGCTGTGAGGTGGCAACAGTGTTTGTTATAGTCTAAGGAATGTTTTATTTCACACACCAGATTCTGTCTATTCTATAGGTCTTCCATCACCACCTACAGATAACAAAAGGCAAGGTTAACGCTTTGAGATATATTTACTACGCTCTAAATTGTAGTGAATTGGAAACTGAATGGCAAAAGAAAATAAAAATTAGCTAAAACTTACCAATCTTGGCTTAAATTTTACGTTTCAAGTTTCAATTAACATATATTTAGAGTAGTGAATAACTTAAAAATTTTTTTTTTTTTTTTTTTAGAATCTATCTAGGAGACAATGAAAACATATACAAAGAAGCGCACACACACACACACACACACAAAAATTAAAATTGCACATGTGTATAGAGGCTGAAATACCCATATTTGAAAAATAGGTGAATTTAGGCTCAAGTTTTGCAGGTGACTGTATAGTCCATTATTTATTATTATTACTATTATGTTATTATTTATATAGCGCCAACAAATTCCATAGCGCTTTACAGTGGGTGGACGAACAGACATGTAGTTGTAACCAGGCAAGTTGGACACACAGGAACAGAGGGTTTGAGGGCCCTGCTCAATGAGCTTACATGCTCATCAGAATTCAGAGGCCCTGGCTGTTTGCATTGGCGTCAGTTCAATAAATAAGTAAATGTGGAGACGCAAAAAGGAAATTTCCTATTTTGCCCAAAATAGCGGAGCTGGAAATACTTACCCTTAGCGGGTTTTGATTTTTTGACCATTCGCCTTTCCACTGGCGTTTGCAGGGCAGCCTTGCTCCTTGGAAGAGGAGTCAGACTCCTCCGAGACGTCTCTCTGTTGGGAGCGTTTAGCTTTGGTTGCATCTTGAGTGGCTGGAACGCCTTGGCTGAGGCCTTCTCCACAGAAGTGGCAACTGCTGCGTTGATTACTGCCTGGAGTTCTGAGGGCCACTGAGTCTTCCATTATTAACACCCAGTATACTTGGGTTTCACCCAATAGGTTCATGAGTAAATAGGCAAATTGGTAGCAGGGACTGCTAGGGGTTATAGTGGTAAAGTATGCGACCCATAGTAATGTATGTAGAGGCAATGCTGGGGCTCACGCAGGTAAAAGGGGCCTGCAAACACAGCTCCACTCGGCAGCAGTATATGGGGCTCACCCCGAGCAGGGTTACAAGGTATGAACCTGACCGGCTGAACCACCCCTAGGTTAATACTAACCTTGACAGGTCCCTGTAGCAGGCAAGGTGAACAGAAGCCAATTTCTGCATCGATTCCAATATATATATATATCTGTAATAATTGAGCTCACCAGGTAATAATAAAACTTCCAGGATTATATCCCGTAGAGAGGTATGGTGGCACAGACAGGCCAATCATAGGAGCTGTAACAGTGACAGACAGATCAAATAGCCAATATTTTTCAGCAAGGTAAGGTACCAGGGTATGTAATAATATGATGGGGGGGCTCACCCCCAGTAATATTAGTATAGAAGTATTCCAGTAAAAGCAGCAGCTAGAATAAGCTAGGGTATATTTATAAATCAGGGGCTCACCCCTGTTTAATTCCTAGCAACAAGCAAGGGTTAAATGGCCGCCGCAGATCTTGCGGGCGCAATCCAAAGCCGAAAAATGTTGAACGGTCGCTTGAAATTAAGCGAACAGAGACAGAACAGTAATACAGGAAAAAACTGAACGGAGGAAAAAACAAACACAGAAAACTCGCGAATGAGTACGTTCGTGAAATGAACAACCCAAAGGGAAACTACCGAACGCTGAGGATGTGAGTTCGGGAGTATAACGGTACATAAGGTCGACCAGGTAGGAGTATAAACCACCGAACGCGCATTGGTTTGAATATGCATTCGGTAGATTGAAGGACGAAAAACAGGTGTACGTGAACGCACGATCCTGTGCGAACGCCTGATAGAAAATACAAACTGCCGAATGTGCATAGATGTACGCTTTCAGTAGATTGAAAAGGAGAGAATAGGCGAACACGAGCGCATGTTAAAAGTGTTCAAACGCAGAAGTCTGACAGGCAGAAAATCTCCACAGCGCCCCACACTCTCCCTGAGGTGAGCGTGTGGTGGTGGGAGAGTGCCTGTGGAGTGGCGAGCATAGCCACAAGGAGAACATTTTATGAGAGGGCCTTACTCTCTAATAATGAAATCAGTATCATGTACTGACAAACTGTAAGATAAACAAAAAATTGACAGGAAGCAGTATAAATATCAGTATTGGGCTGAGTTTAGGAGAGGGACTCACCCTCTAATAATGAAATCAGTATTATGTACTGACAAACTGTAAGATAAACAAAAAACTGACAGGGAATAAAAGGATAAAGTATGCACACAGACATCCCAAGTCTATATCCTACAAAACAAAAAAACAGCGTCCACACTATCAGATAAAACCCTACATAAATCCATATAAAGTAAGAAAAGAAAGAAATCAATCAAGTAAATAAGTAAAATTAAGTAAATATAACAAGACAAGCCAACAAAGTGTAGGCACACAATATTCTGACCTGATTTGTGATGGAGCAGCAAAGAAAGAGGGAGTGGCTCAGTGGAAGGCGTATCTTATACTCTCTGCCTGTCTCGGTTTGGTTGCTTTTTTTTCTCTATATGTCTTTGCTGCTATGGAGAAGTAAAGAAAGATTATGCCAAATATGAAGCCTACTGTCAAAAAATAAAAATTCTATGCAGGGCTGGATCGAGAGCCAAACTCAGGAGGGGAACTGATGGATTATTGTGCTGATGCAAATTTTTTTTTTTTAAGCATGTAATTTAAATCACTAGAGCGGTTCTTGGACAAGCATTTTCTCATATGACTTTTCATATTCTGAAATATTTGTTCTTTTCACTTTCCCATACAGATACCTATGGAAAACTTACTCTCTTAAGCGCTGTAGGTCATGAGTTATCACGATGTAAAACATCTATTCGCCGTGGCCAACCCAACCCGGTCTACAAAGAAACCTTCATCTTCCAAGTTGCCCTGTTTCAGCTCACTGAAGTCACCCTGATGATTTCAATTTACAACCGTCGCACCATGAAAAGAAAGGAGATGATTGGGTGGATTTCAATGGGTCAAAACAGTAGCGGTGAGGAAGAACAGAGTCATTGGTTGGAGATGAAAGAATCTAAAGGACAACAAGTGTGCAGATGGCACACACTGCTTGAATCTTAGGTGTAAAAGAACTGCCCTTTTTTTTGGAAAGTAGAAATATGGGTGTATCACACCAGAAGACTCCATGGCTTCACTCCATGGCTGGATTTTGTATTAGCAATCTATGGGCGGGTCTAAGTTGTGTTAAGGTTTTGAGGCTCCTAGCAGACAGTGACAGCATCCAACTCTAAAACATTTCAACCTAGGGTGTCCCAGGTTGGACTCTCCCCATTTAAACAATGTAACATTCCTTTTCTTTTGCATTGCACTAATTCTTAGCACTGATATAGTTAAACACAATATTACATTGATTCATCTGCTTCAACATAGAATTTTGCTTAAGAATGCACTATATTTGTAATGGGAAAAAACAGGCACCAGAAATGTTGTTCTTAGTAGTTACAAAAAAGTAAATCTATGTTTGTTACCGTATGTATAAAACATTATCATGCATTAGGTAAAAGGGGTATTTTCTTTACCGTGCTGGAGTACTGTTGGTAGCCAAAATAGATCTTAAATCAGAAACATTTTGTGCCACATACATCTATTCTACAAAGTGACTCATGTTACATCAAGGAAAAGAACAAAGAGACATTTGGACTTAAATATGAATTCTCTTAAGGTAAATTGCACCTATAGCTGTAATCTGTATTACTGAACTGCCCATTATCCCTCTGAGTGCCTTTGGGGAGTGCATTGCATTGCCGTGCAGCAAGAAGAGGGTTCGGTTTTAGATCTCTACAGAAAATGATAAATGTTAGATATACTTTACCGTCAGATCGTGAAATAGCATTGCATATTTAACTGCATGAGCTCACATAAATAGTCTTCTCTGCTTGTATTTTTAATTACTTGGAATGAATTTGATACTAATTTAGACTGAATTATATATTTTCAGAAAGCATGGAAAGCAATAAAGAGTTTTTGCTGTATATGTCTCGGTTACACTCTAATTTTATGCCTTTGTGACTGGGACTGCAGATTTATGGTCCAATATCCAAGCATGTCTGGGGGTTTAATATTCATGCACTTAAAAATCTATTCACTAATCAGCCAGTACTGCCAACTTAAAGAGAGACTATAAATCACCAAAACAATTTTAGCTTAATGAGGCAGTTTGGGTATATCTATCATGTCCTTGCATTCTCGCTGCTCAATTCTCTGCTATTTAGGAGTTAGATCACTTTTGTTTCTGTTTATGCAGCCCTAGCCACACCTCCCCTGTGACTGACACAGGGGAGGTGTGTTAACTTCATCAGATGTTAACTTATTTTGAAGTTTTTAACACCTGCTCTGTAAATTGAACTTTAATTACATACATGAGGCTTCTGCAGGGTCTAGCAAGCTGTTAACAGAGCAGGAGAAAAGAAATGCTAAATTAAACAGAATGTGCAATAAAGGAAGTGTAAACATTATATCTCTCTTTACAGGAAGTGTTTTGGAAGACTGGTTAAGTCACTTGCAAGGAGGAGTGACTAGGGCTGCATGAACTAAGGGATTTAACTCATAAATGGCAGACAATTTAGCAGTGGGACTTCAAGAACCTGATCTTTTCACCAAAACTCCCTCACTCTCACATTAACTAAAACTGCAAAAACTAACCAATTTTTAAACCCTCACCCCACAGAGAGGTAGTTAGAAACATAGAATGTGACGGCAGATAAGAACCATTCGGCTCATCTAGTCTGCCCAATATTCTAATACTTTCATTAGTCCCTGGCCTCATCTTATAGTTAGGATACCCCACGAATGTCTATCCCACGCATGCTTAAACTCCCTTACTGTGCTAACCTCTACCACTTCAGCTGGAAGGCTATTCCATGCATCCACTACCCTCTCAGTAAAGTAATACTTCCTGATATTATTTTTAAACATTTGCACCTCTAATTTAAGACCATGTTCTCTTGTTGTGGTAGCTTTTCTTCTTTTAAATATAGTCTCCTCCTTTACTGTGTTGATTCCCTTTATGTATTTAAATGTTTCTATCATATGCCCCCTGTCTCGTCTTTCCTCAAAGCTATACAGGCTAAGATCCCTTAACCTTTCCTTGTAAGTTTTATCCTGCAATCCATGAACCAGTTTAATAGCCCTTCTCTGAACTCTCTCTAAGGTATCAATATCCTTCTGGAGATACGGTCTCCAGTACTGCGTACAATACTCCAAGTGAGGTCTCACCAGTGTTCTGTACAATGGCATGAGCACTTCCCTCTTTCTACTGCTAATACCTCTCCCTATACAACCGAACAATTCTAGGAATAGATGTATCAATGCAAAGCAAGTACTATCCTAGGTGCAAAGTGCTAAATGTTGAGATACATACTATTGATTTCTGTTGGTGACTGCTCCTTATGTACCACTGTTTTTGCTTTGATACATTTTCCCTGAAATATTTAAGAGTGCAGAGTTGTGTTGGAGCTTTTCTGAAAAATGTACATGACAATGCAAATCTATAATGGTCTTATTTAGACAGATAAAATAAGAAAACTGCAATTTTAGTTCCACATTAACCACCAGGTCCTTAACTGGCTTGGGAAATGCATAGGAGAATTTTTACTCTACAGAGTAATTTATTTCCAACTTCAGTCTTATTGTCAGGGGTTTGGAGCAGTAGGGACTCAATATGCAGAATGAAACCAATAGCAAGGTTCAGGAAAGGAGGATCCAAAGACATGGTCAGGCAGAAGGTAAGGTCAAGCCAGGCAGCGTAGGTTCTTAGCTGATAAAACAGGCAAAGGGTCAGAACATCAGTAATCAGAAGGCCAAGGTTCAACAGGACAAGTGAACTGGAGAACTGTAGGCACACAACTGAGCACTGAGGAGAGCTATAGAGAGGCATGACTCATCCAAGTCTTTCTCCATAGGGCCTGCACACTGCCTGGAGAGTCCAGGGATCTGCGCCTTCGCAGATGAACAGGACCTGGACCTGAAGTGTGAGGCACTGGCTGCTAAGTGAGCCATGCTCCCTGGTGGGTCGGGTGCCATCTGACCCACCAGGGAGCCAAAGATCCCACCGAACGTCCATACACTGACCTTGTAGCTGGGAGTATTTCGGTGAAAGGGAGCTATCCACGTGGGAGTGGCTCGCATAAAGGCAAGTACCCAACACTTATTGTACAGGATCTATCAATGGATACGCTATACACTTACTCTTTTTAGATTTTAGACATTTGTGCTATTAGTCTTGTGATTCTATTATATTATGCATTAGTGAAGAAACTTTTGTATTCGATTTCAGAAGTAATTCCAACAAATCTCCGAATCGCCAAATGAACGAATTACAAAACAAACGAAAAGAAAAAATGAATGAGCCATTTAATGTTTTGTAATTCAAAATTCTGTCTACGGAAACAAAAAGAAAGATAATTGATAATCAGGGGACAGACACTAAATGTTGATTTTATTTACAGATCAAACGAGAAGTGACCAAAAGAGGGGAAAAAAGAAGCCGTAAAAATAAAAAATAAAATCTATATATTATTTAGCGCCGCAAACCAAGATGCTGATGGTTATTGCTGTATGATGGTGTCATTATTTAAATATTAAATGTATATAAGTGTGAAGGCCAAAAAGAGCAGTGTCAGGGTAAACCGCACATATGGTTTTAAATTGTAATTAAAGATAACTGTATTTCATTGCACGTTTTGTACAGTAAGTGTCCTGATCGGATCGCTATAGCCTAATTGCAGCAGAAAAGCATCGGATATATTTAGGCTCAGTCACCACTTATAATCCATTATTGTTAATGAATAGGTTTTGTCCCAAATGTTTCACAGCCGACATGCCAGATAAAAAGGACAAGGTGCCATTGCCTGGATAGTGTAGTAGGTCAGGAATGATGTCCTTGTAATCTATCACGTTGCCACAGTAGACATGTTCTATGGGGGGGGAGGGGAGGGTGATGGGTAAGAAATGTCTCACAGAGAAAATCTGATATATGCCATGTATCTGTTGTCACTGTGGTTACTACACACACAAACACAATTTTATCATTTTATCGTTTCTCTGTCTGGAAACTATAGAAACCATGGCTACGAGAAGGGTAGGATGAAATAAAACAGATGTTTGGTGAAAGAAAAATGTTATAGGGAAGATAGATAAGAATAGTTACCGATTTTTATATAAATCGCAAGGGGTGAATCATACTACGCAACAAAAACACCAGTGCAAAGAATTAAAGGGACAATCCAGGCACCCAGACCACTTCTGCCCATTGGAGTGGTCTGGGTGCCAACTCCCACTACTCTTAACCCTGCAACTGTAATTATTGCAGTTTTTTATAAACTGCAATAATTACCTTGCAGGGTTAGCTCCACCTCTAGTGGCTGTCTACTAGACAGCCACTAGAGGACACTTCCTGGATCATAGCACAAATTGTCTGTGCTAGAGCATCGCTGGACGTCCTCACGCTGTGTGAGGACCTCCAGCATCGCTCATTTCCCCATAGGAAAGCATTGAAAAGCATTTCCTATGGGGAGCTCTATTGCGCATTAGGTTTCCCCAGGTGGTGGGCAGGATCAGTCTCGCCCACCGGCCGACGCAATCACTGGGAGGAGTGGCGGCAGAGGAAGAAGCAGTGACGTGGGACATAGTCGCTGCCTCTGGTAAGTTACTGAAAGGGTTTTCACCCCTTCAGCAACCAGGGATTGGGGGGTGGGAGGGAGAGGGGACCTGCAGTGCCAGGAAAACGGATTGTTTTCCTGGCACTGGAGTTTCCCTTTAATCTCAGCTGCCCATAATTAAATTTAGGATTAGATAGTACAATTTACCAGAGTGTGCAATAGTTATACTGATATAAAATAAAAAAAATATACTGAAGATTCAGTATATTTAAAGGGACACTCCAGACCCCTAAAGCACTTTAACTTGCTGAATGGCTTTGAGTGTGAATAGCGTGTCCTTTCAATTGAAATTAGCACTTTTATAAACTAAAGCTTGCTACACCTCCCTGGCTGTCAGTCAGAAAACTGGTCATGTTACTTCCTGACTGCTTAGCACTCACAGTGAACAGGAGTGATAAAGAGGCTTAGAGGCATGCATGGAAACCGGCTTGTCAGGTAACTTTACATACATTATAAGGACACAAAAATGTTAAAGTGGAGTCTGGAAATCTAGAGCTTAATATGACCTCTTACATTGTTACATAGGCTGAAAAGAGACATGCGTTCATCAAGTTCAGCCCTTCATTCATTCCTTCTTGACTTCAGAATGGCAGTCAGATCTCTCCATTGATCAAGAAGCTAATACCCTACCGATTAAAAATCATACCCCTGAATATAATGTTTTTGCAAGTATGCATCTAGTTGCTGTTTAAGCATCTGTATGAAGTCTGATAAAACTTTCTCAGACTATTACCGGTGTCCAAATATAGACACAATTAGCACTGCTAATGCAGAAGTAAAACTTTTACATTAGAAATATGGCAAATGAGAGCTGCCCCATGATTAGACACAGAGTTGGAGAATGATGTCGCCAGCCTACTAGTACCATAACCCCTACAATGGGTAGATGCTTAAAATGGCTCAGTAGCAAACATCACAAGCATTGTTAACTTAATATACTTCTTCCAAATTACTTGAAGCTCCTTTGCCTTGAAACATTATACATAAAAACATGGCTGATAGATGGGAGAACATTGCACTCGACAACTATCGGCCAAAAATGTTTTATTATTCTCAGTGGTGGTCTTATCACAATGTCTCTTATCCTATTACAGACAATGGTAGATTTCTCAAAACAAGAAGTATTTTTTTTTAAACTTTAACTTTGTCATTGCTGTGACATTTATTTTTAATTAAGGCAACTCTGGTGAACAGTCAATTTTTTTGCATATCACTATATTTACAACAAAATACCTAACAAACACGTCACACAGAAAAGTGTAAATCGCTTAAGGACTTTTTCAGTATGTCATAAAATCTAATAAAAATAAAATTATATATATATATATATATATATTTAAATACATAAAACGAAGCTACGCACGTGTAGGTATTTAGAAGTCTTAAATGAAAAGCAGAATACATGTTTAACATACATGTTTAGCCATTAAAGCAGAGATCAAAAACACACACACACACACACACACACTTTACATTATTCAAAATTTCCTTACCATTTATTACATATATGAGTAGGCAGTTTTGTGTACATAAACAGAAGTGTTTCTGGTTTAAGAAACACTCTAAGCATCATTATCAGAACTCCCAAGTCTCCTAATTTCTGTGGAACATTTCCTATTTGAGAGTTCTGTCCTGTCGTCACAGAGTTGTTCTGAAATATCTTGAAACCGTCCTCATGCAGCACAGTTTGAGCACACGATTAGACAGCTGGTGCCGTGCGATGAGCATTGGGACCATGCAGCGCTCTGTGCATGGATTGTGTTTGTGGGGCTGGCCTGGAGTCTGTCGGTCAGCGTGGTATGCATTAACACCAAGCTGATAGGCCACATACAGTGGATGGGCCTGCCACCTTTCTGGGAAGATCACCCATTATGGGCATCACCAGTGATGCAAAATAAACAAAACAAAAAACAAAACCACAAAAGAATATGAAAAAAAAAAATGTATATCCCTGTGAAAACAAATTGCCATGGTTTTCTGAAATAAGCCAGACTGCATTTCTGTATTAATAAGAGCCTCATGAAAGCCAATATAACTGAATGCTGATAGAAGGGATCACAATTTGGTTTCCCTGTTTTGAGTTATAAGCAGCAACATTCCGATCATTGAAATGACAGATATGTAAGTATATGTAACATTGCATTATAAGTTCTAAATTCTTTTATCTACCCTCCACTATTCTTTCCAACTGCCACACTGATGTAAATGCCTGAAATGTAACCGTCACTTTGTTGTTTGTCAGTGTGTGTATGTACCCATATAACGTGTTATGATGAATTTCTCAGAATTACAAAATCCTACCATCGTTCTATACTGAGCACATTATGATGTCAGCACATGATCTCATTGCTAGAGCTATTTTCCCAGGGTGAGATACAGCAGGTAGATCGATTAGATTGTTTAGACAGATACAACAGAAATGCATCTTTTAAATAAATGTTTAAATACCATGCTTCAGAGGATTTTCCAAATAACCACCTTAGATATTTAGCAAATTTAAAGTCCGAAATATGCAAAAAAACTAAAAAGGTACAAATTATGTCCATGTGTGGGTGTAATATCCATGCATTTTAAAGGAAACCACAACACAATACATATTAACTACCAAGGAGTCTAAGTGCCACCAGCCCATGTGACCCAGCTGTCACCAATTTCTATATGGTGTGGGTAAAATTCTCTATGTCAGCTATGCTTTCAGTTCTGGACTTAAATTTAAATTCCACCTTGAATTCTTATTTTAATAAACAACTTTCTACCTATTCAATGCAATCCCACCATACTACCCAACTCATAGAGGAGGGGGGCTGCAGTAAAGATATGTTCCCATGCACCGCTTCCCCCAGTCACCCGCTGACATCACCAACTCACCCTAAGTGATCTGAAACAGCACTATACTACTCTTTGTTTTGATAATATATGGCTGCATGAGGAAGAAGCTGCCCGATTTAAAATTATAATAATAAAATAATAATGAAAACACTAATATCCACCAGCCCCCCCACCTGTGTATCTGCTTCAGCCCCCAAAGCCTCCCCCTACATTAATGACTATGTACAAGCGAAACTTTGCATTATCGTAGCATTTGCTAAGGGGCCAGACTCATGGTACCTGCGTATTGCCGTCTCCAAGATTTCTCATCGGATAACAGCATCAAGAGTGGAGTCAAATTCTGGGTGTAGAGAGTATTGCACCTCGCCATCTTCAAACTTTACCAGCCCTTAATGGGTGCGACCAACCTTAAAAAAACGATACAAATAAATTAAAAAGCTGGTGGGGACTGGGTAACAGTGCAGTACAGTTTGATACCACCACATCTTTATTCACCAAATACAATTAAATAAATCTAGAGCATGCACAAAAATTCTAGTGAAAAGGAAAAAAACTAAATTTCTTTAAAAAGTTTTGTAAAACAAATGATTACACAGATAAATATGTATGTATACAGTATGTTGTGGTAAGCAGAGAGCGAGCATTTAAAATGTTAATGCCCACATTGCACAAACCTCCTGAGGCAGAGGGAGATAGTGTGACCCCAGGAATAACAACTTGTCCTGTTCTACCAGGTTCCCCAGAACACACAAACCAGCACAGGAGTATTGTCTGCATGCTATCCGATCACATCTGTGACTGGGGATTTTATCTATTAAATCCGCAGCAATATTGAAAGGTTTAACGAGAGAACTGTAAATCCCCAAGATTTTAACAGTATTTATTTATCTCCATTATTTAACAAATACCAGGTTCTGAGAAGAGAAAAAAACAATAAATGTAAAATTTCACTCTTACCATGGAAACGAGTGCCTCTAACATGGTTCCCTATCGCTTGCTGTTATAAGCTCTTTTCAGTCATTTAACTTAAAGGAACACTATAGTCACCTAAATTACTTTAGCTAAATAAAGCAGTTTTAGTGTATAGATCATTCCCCTGCAGTTTCACTGCTCAATTCACTGTCATTTAGGAGTTAAATCACTTTGTTTCTGTTTATGCAGCCCTAGCCACACCTCCCCTGGCTATGATTGACAGAGCCTGCATGAAAAAAAAACTGGTTTCACTTTCAAACAGATGTAATTTACCTTAAATAATTGTATCTCAATCTCTAAATTGAACTTTAATCACATACAGGAGGCTCTTGCAGGGTCTAGCAAGCTATTAACATAGCAGGGGATAAGAAAATCTTAATTAAACAGAACTTGCAATAAAGAAAGCCTAAATAGGGCTCTCTTTACAGGAAGTGTTTATGGAAGGCTGTGCAAGTCACATGCAGTGAGGTGTGACTAGGGTTCATAAACAAAGGGATTTAACTCCTAAATGGCAGAGGATTGAGCAGTGAGGCTGCAGGGGCATGTTCTATACACCAAAACTGCTTCATTAAGCTAAAGTTGTTCAGGTGACTATAGTGTCCCTTTAATACTAGTGACTAGAAGAAGAAACAATGTATCTTTCTCCTCCTCATCATTTACAATGTGTTCCAGACTGTGCCAGGACTGAAGTGGATTGTGATGTAATTTGCTACATTTTCGATATATACATTACAGCAAAGAAAATGAAGCATCACATGAAAAACGGTTAACGGAAGACTCCACGCACCATAACCACTACAATGTGCTGTTTTATTATGGTGCCCCATGAATGTAAGGAGTCAAACTGTTTAGTAATAGTTTAACTTCTTACCTAGGGTCCGTAGAACGCCACTCCACATCCCCTGTCTGCCGGGAGAAGAGGCGGACATTCCTGCTAAGGAGCTTCCATTGGCTTTCCTGAACTAATCCCCCCAGGTTCAGGATTAGCGCATTGGCTGAAAATTGTTATCTGATTGCATTTACTCTGTGCGCTAATCTCCGTCCTGCCAGTTTAGTTCAATGTAGAGAGCTTCTGGCAGTGGGACGTGTGGAGTGGCACCTGTCGAACCCCAAATAAGAGTCAAACTGCTACTAAATGCTTTTACTCTTAACAATGGGGAGAAACCAGGGCACCCCCGGCACCATAATCACTGCTGCGCACACAAGTGGTTATGGTACTTGGAGTGTTCCCTTAACACAAGTTACAGGTGAATTTCAATGTTTTATTAAATGCTGGGTTTTCCAGAGAAGCGATTGTTCCCCTTTTAACACCAGAGCTATAATTCAACCTCCAGCCTGCACTAAATATTTTTCCAGTGTGTTCGTGAAAAGAGAATTGTGGGATTCCTTTCCTAATGTCAAGCCAGAAGCTTCAATGTTACTGTACTGCCGATGTTTATAAATAAAAGATAACAATGCTGACTCACAGACCCACGTCCTGCAACAAGAGACATTAACGAGCAGCTAAAAAAAGACACCAAACTTGTCAAGCATGGGAATGTCTTTAAAAAGTGTCTTCAGCCTAAAGGGGAAGAGAAAAAAAACCACACATACACACACACCTCCCACACGTTCGTTTTAATGAGTGCGACTTATTATTTTCACAAACACAGCATCTCACATGATGCTTCCTCTGCTATGCTAGCCCAGCCTAGTGAGTGAGCATCCCCTGGATGCTGTAAGCGTCACCGTCGCTTAGCAACGCTGCCCTGGCAACGCTGATTGTCTGCCTCCTGGCTGCGGCTCCACCCTGAGGACCAATCAGGAGGCGGCGAGTAGGCAGCGTTGCAGCAGTGAGCAGCACCTGGCTGACTCTGACCGGGACCAGGGACTGGAGAACTTGTCGCCGACCCTGACATTCTACAGAGAGGGCAATGGGACCGATTTATCTGGTGCTGTAAGAGTCAGACTGGCTGCTTATTAAAAAGGAGGTAATTTATTATTACTTACACTATTCCCATATTAGTTACAACCAATATGTCTTTACAACATTCTCTCTCATCACTCTCATTTATTTGTCTAATCTGTCTGTGTCTCTACCGGTCACTTTTATTGTACTCGTTTTATTTTACCATCTGTGCAACAAATACAAATACAAAATATATGTCTGGAATTCAAGGATGCATCATTGTGGGTTAATTTGATGAATTAGTGCTTCTTATAGATAGTACAAGACAGCTGGGAGAAGCAAGAACTCACAGTGCAGGGATGCCTGGTGTGTATGTGTATCCATTGTACAGCGCTACAGAATTTGCTGGTGCTATTTAAATAATAAAATAATAATAATAATGTTTATGTAGATTATATATACAGATAAACACAATATGCAGCCTTTAAAACTATTAGAGACAACAATATGAGTTATTATAACAGACAAACTGCAAGGATAATTTTTTTTTTATCTATGATATTTTTTTTATTTTATTTTTTTTATATAGCTATATATACCTGCACAGTCAACTCCGCATGTATAAAATACATGACCTGTATATTATTAGGTGTATATGGGGGGGGGGGTATGACCAGATATTTTATATGTCAATATATGTGCATACTATACATGCAAGGAAAATGTAACTAGATATCTAGAGTGAATATTGATACAGTGTTACAGTGCATTTGGAACTGTAGAATAAAATAAACTAAATAAAGTACCGGTATATTTAAACAGGAACAGCTGAACAGGAATATAAAAACGGCGGATTTCCTATAAGCACGTGTATCAGGTGTATAATATAATTTAATGTAAATACTTACTATAGGTGAACTGGTGATGCACCTTTAATTTCACAGAGGGGCAGATTGGATATTATAGAGGCCCATGTCACAGTGATATTAACCATCTAGAGGGGTGAAAAAACAAAAAGTAGTTTTATATATTTACAAGCACAAATCATTTTACATTTTGGGGCACGCAAATATATATACACACACAAGCACACACGTAAAGAAGATACAGATAATTTATATGACACATTATTGAAATCATTTTCTGTGTGGATGCATCAAACTTTGTTTATGTTCATTGTGTGAATGCCAGATGGAAAGTTACAACAATTTATATATATTAAAATTAAAGTTATCAGAAAATATTCTATGGGTGGCGGTGTCAAATCAATGATATATCGATTATATATACATACATATGACATCATATATAATAAATACCGTGTTCCACAGCAAGAAATGCTCTCTCATCAGGAAATTTATTTTGTACGTTTGCAATGGACTGTATTTTTATGAACTATTGAAATTGTTGTTAATGCAGAACATTGCATGATCTACTCTATACAGGGACTGCAACAGAGGAATACATTCAGAAATGTTGTTATCTTTTAGCAAACCTGATTGTATGATTTTGTGAAATAATCCAGATCTTTCTAGAAAGCTATAAGGATCGCTCCATGGCCTTATATTATAGTGAAATTTAAATAACAAACGTGTACCACAGGTGATACCCCAATGGTACCCCGGGTATAAAAGTCAGAATGGACACAGTCATTGCAAAGATTAATACTTGAATATATGGTTTGATTAAAAACGCTCACAAGAGTTAAAATACGTTAAAGGACCACTATAGTGCCAGGAAAACAAACTTGTTTTCCTGGCACTAGAGTGCCCTGAGGGTGCCCCGCCGCGCTGAAGTGGGAGGAAGGGGTTAAACACTCATCTTTCTCCAGCGCCGGACTCTCCTCCCCTCTTCTGATGTCATCGGCTGAATGCGCATGCGCGGCAAGAGCCGCGCGCGCATTCAGCCAGTCTCATAGGAAAGCATTCTCAATGCTTTCCTATGGACGCTGGTGTCTTCTCACTGCGAAAAATCACAGTGAGAAGGGCGGAAGCGCCTCTAGCGGCTGTCAATGAGACAGCCACTAGAAGCTGGATTAACCCATTTGTAATCCAATGAAACTGCTATGTTTACAGCAGACAGGGTTAACCCTAGAGGGACCTGGCACCCAAACCACTTCATTGAAGGTCTCCTGGCGCCCAGACCACTTCATAGTGGTCCTTTAAACAAGCTTAATTAGTACACAAAAACTGTTAACTGTAAGCTAAAACAGGTTTATTTTCAGAGATATTTGATTAGCAGAATTTTCATCATCCCTTAGCAATCGTGCACTGATACTCTGATATCTATAAAACGGGTAGCGAAAGGTAAGCTGGCACAGATTTAATCACCGAGTCTTACAGTGAGAGAAAATATATAATCCAGAAATGGCCAAGCGTCATGGGAGTTGTATTTCAACAGCAGTTGGGGTTCTACATGAAGGTCATCTCTTCTCTAAGCACTTACATTGTTTAGGCTGTACAGTGCACATAAAACATATTATGTTGTATAAATAAATACATATAAAAAAAAAAAAAAAGTCTGGATATATTAGATATTTTTTTTATATAGCTCTATAGTAGCAATTTGGTTTCCAAGAACAATGCTATTAATCCATATCGGCAGGGGTCCCTGAGATGAGAAAGAGTTGGATGTCTTGCGTTCAGACACAAAGGATGTGCACAGTTATTATTACACTACATCTCTTTATCTCCCACGGTAACCGTGCAGAGAGAATAATTGCAAATAAATTTGCTTTATTTAGCTTTACCTAGAATGGTAATCCACTATGGACATAAATGATAACGCTATCACTAATTAGTACAGTTCCATGCTAATTATTGTTTCCCTTTGATCGCAAAGAGAGCTGTTGCATCATTTTTTTCCTTTCTCTGTTAATATTGTATTTCTGAACAGTTATCTCACTGGTATATCTTCTTAGCAGGAGATCTTTCAAAGCAATGCTAGCTGTGCCAGGCAGGAGGCTAAGACGGACCTTTGATGATTTCCGTGTAAGACACATTGCAGACTGATTTGTAAGTATCACATTCTATGGCCGTGTTTATAGTTGTGCGAAATCAATCGAACAAGGTGACTTTGCAAAGTAATTTGATAAATAGGCTTCAGAGTACAGTTAGGATTTTTCGTAACATTGTTTAAAATCAGCTTAGTTGGTTTGGTGCATAATGGATAAACAATTTATTTTAATTATGGCAGTGGATTTTTAGGAAAATATAGACTTTTTTTCCCAGCGCACTCAAGGAATAAGCCACAAGATAAAGAACATTCAATTGAAAATTCACATCTATTACAATTTTAAAAAAATGTTTTGGTAGGGAGTGCTCGTCCTAGGGTAATATTTATATATCAAACAGAAAATGTTGATTGAATATGGATTTATTTTATTTTATTTTACACAGAAGGTGGTAGTGGGAGCAAAGCCAGGACAAGGCTATTATGGAGAATTGCCCAGGAAATTAAGAATTTAATGAACGCATGGTTTACAAATTCTTTTTTTATTATTACCGCCATAGCATATTTTGTATTCTAGAAGTTAGGAAATTTGAACTTATGGAAGGGTTTATCAATTTTTTTGTAAAACAATATTACGTTAGTAAACAGAGTAGATTTACTAAACAATAGAATGTGAGGAGTTAAATAAAAATTGCAAAATGTAACCAAACCCCCTTTCCCCCCTCCCCCAAAACATAATATGAAAATACATTTTCCCATAGTAACAGTTTTGGGTTGTTTCTCCATGCTGGTTAATTTGAACTACATTTTGAAATTCTTAATTTTGTGAACAAACTTCTTAGATTTTTGTTCAGTTTATAATTGCTGCATTTGCCTCTCTCTCTTCAACAAAATATTGCAGTAACTATTCGTAGCCTGTCCCTAACTTGATAGCTTCTCTTTATGCTGTTATGTTTTCGACAGCCAGTACAAGTACTTGTATGCTGTGCACACATTATACAAGTCCCTGTTATATTTGGGATTATAGTTAAAACTATTAGAAGACATCAATTCACCGATTGGTTTCAGCTTATTCCTTAGTTTAAAATAACAGTGCAAATTGTGTGGTTTTTCTCATTGAAGGTAAAGTACAAAACGAGAGAAAGAAAAACAAACAAACAAACAAAAAATGGCCACAAAAAGTCTGCATTTTTAAGACAACAGTAGCACAGTGCTGACTAACAACCTCCCCTCCCTGCCCCCCACAAAGTATAAAATAAATAGATTTGAGCAAATCTAGAGAGTAATTCACATATGGTCAATTCTACAATGAAATTCTACCAGAAACAAACTCAGGATTTCAAAACCTATGAGCTTAAATTCACTATATCTAACAAATATTATGAAGAATGAAACTGAATCATAACATTACAACATAAACAAAGCACTACAGAATTGACCCAACATAGCATAAAAAAGACCCCAATATAAATGGCGTTCTGTCTAAATAGCACCAAAATATAGAAAAACTGGCCCACGAGGCCTATCAGAAAAGAACAATCCCAGAGTTCCCAATAACAAATACCCCATAATGAAGTTCCAAGATGAAATTTTGGGCAGATTTTAATCTCCTCATCTAACATACAGAAGGGACACAAGTCACATATTTGTCAAGCAATGGGTGAGGTTTTTCTATTGACAAAGGTGGGACATATGCCATAGACTGAGCTTTGGAACAGGTGGGGTTCACAATCTCCTGGCTTACTCAAGTCCTTTATTTTTCCCTCCTTCTCCAATGTGTCCAGGATGGAGACAAGTCTTGTGACTGCAGCTCTCCACTGATGCAATATGGCCCTTGGGGACCCACACCAGTTTCTTTAACATCTAGTAAACAGGAGGAAGCAAAACCTTATAATCACTTGCAAACGATCTGGTTTTATAATCTAGGTTATTATTTAAATTGTATCTACCTCCTGGAAGTGAAATTCCTGAACCAGCCCCCATGTTGACATTTTGGGTATAATTAGGTTGCAGTTTGGCTATTTATCAATAATTGAATTGCTAAACTTTGCAGCGACATCAAACTTTTTTTTTTTTACTGAATACTTTACTGCCTCTCAATTGCAACCCCAAAAATAATAACCAAATTTGCATATTAATCACCTGTAGAAAAATTAGTTAATTGGTTTTGTGAGATTGAGAATTAGAAAATGTACCCCATCCAGCATTTAGATCCCAATGGTAGCTGTCCCAGGAACTGCTAGGGAACTATGGATTCATTTTAAAAACATTTCATATAGTTTGGCCTTTTTACATAATTTGCAGTAAACCATATTTGTTTATCGGTTTTTTTTTAAACCTTGAATACAAGGTTACTAACGCAAAAGAATCTGGCTGATAGCACAAAATGTAAGGTGCACGTCAAAGCTTTTTTAAGCTTACCATTGCCAACTTACGTGGGTTGGAATAAATATATGACTTGTGATGTGAGAGTGTTTTCACAAAGAATAAATTTAGTTGATATGTCGTCATTGTGAAGCCATTCACAGCTCTTGGATTAAAATAATTTATACAAAGAAATACCCCAAATAAGAACCTTTCATTTTGGCAAAAAAAACAAAAATATTTTAAAGGAAGAGTTAAACTGCTTTTAACAATGGGGGTGGGCAATTGCCCACCTCAATGATCCACATGTTTTCCTATCGCTGGTCTGGTGGGGGAATAGAAAATACATCAAATGTGGGAGCATTTAAGACTTCTTAAGAACCAGTAGAGAACCTGGTGTTCTGCCTTCATTCAACTCATGCGTGCAGGATGAGGGCTAGTATACTCTATGCAGTTGGTGGGGATTTTAGAAAATTAATGAAATGACCTAGTGCTATATGGGTACATTTTTTAGAAAGGGGATTTTATGTTAAGTAAAGTGCTAGGCAGATGCTCAACTTCTTCTTTTACTAATGATGGACAATGTAAAATTGCCTACAAGTACTTCTCTGCCATTCATGGAAATGGCCACCTGAAAGCTCTGCCATCAATAGAAAATAATAATAAGAATATAAAACAAACACAAAACAAAACAAAAATCCCAAAACCGCCACAGACTGAAATGCAAACTAAAATTTTAGAATGAAGAGGAGGTAGGAATAGTCAACTTGGAGATGAAGGGGAAACAGAGTAGCAGAAACTGGGATGACGAGGGGGGCAGGTTTGGGATGGCCCTGGAGGGATGAACGTGGAATAAACAGGGAGGGGGGGGAGAGGGGGGTGGGAAGGGTAAAAAGTACTGTGTTTATTTACTAAGCACCTAATTGTAATGATTGAAAACCAAACTGTAAAATTTAGGCAAGGATTTGTTGATACAAAACTAGCATGATAAAAATTCTGGTAGTTGTGAGTTCCAACCATTAATGGGTGCCATGCCTGCTGCCTGGCGCCTGTTACACCTGTAGAGGAGCCACACAGCAGGGAGAGGCAAGTTTTATGAGTCAGTGGATACAACAATGAACAAGAACAATATGATGATAAATAGGCTTCCAGAAGCCACTACCTGATTTTAAATGATAAAAAAAGTGTGTCCCCTCATCGCGCACAGACTCTCTAGGCTCAGTCATCCTAGTCCGGGCATAGGCAACCTTTGGACTACACCTCCCATGATGCTTTGTCAGCATTATGGGTGTAAGAGTATTATGGGGGATGTAGTCAACAACATCTGGAGTGCCGAAGGCTGCCTATCCCTGTCCTAGTCTGTCTAAGAGAGGATATGTCACAACTGATTGCCAGGCTTTGGGGAAGCATTGTAGCAAGGTTATGAGGCACCTGGTGACCATTACCAAAGTACAGGATGCTTCATCCCTTTTTCCAACATCTGCATAATATTCACCGGCACTCCCATCCTCTGCTCTTCAGGGACTAACTTACAGGGGGTTCCACGGTATTTTAAATAGCTACGTCATTTTAGGGCTGATTTACTACTAGAATTATTTACATACATTGATAAAAATCTACAAAAGGTGTAGCAGCCACAGGTATTGCCAGGCAATAATAAGCCATTTATTTTTAGATATTAGGAGACTCTGAGCCCAAATCCCTCTGCCCCTCTTTTCTATACTAATTGTCCCTCTTTTCTAGGAGCTCACTATATCTAACAAATATTATGAAGAATGGAACTGAATTATAGCATTACAACATAAACAAAGCACTACAGAATTAACCCAACATAGCATAAAAAAAGACCCCAATATAAATGGAGTTCTGTCTAAATAGCACCAAAATATAGAAATAAACTGGCCCACGAGGCCAATCAGAAAAGAACAATCCCAGAGTTCCCAATAACGAATATCCCATAATGAAGTTCCAAGATGAAACTTTGGGCAGATTTTAATCTCCTCACCTAATATATGTTGATGTGTCTTAGTGTATAAAAGAGCTCCACAGCAATACTACTCCCAGTAATGTGCCTGAGCGTGTAACAGAGCTCCACAGCAATAATACTCCCAGTAATGGGTCTTTAAACTACAAAAAATGTGTCTAGAAATCAGTCTGTATAAATAATACACATTGTTTTGGTACTAAATTACATTTTAGTTGCATAAACTGTTAATAGAAAGTCACTTAGAATTTCACAGAACAGCCAACAACTCGACTCACACAGGTAAAATCAAAGTGTTATTTTTTTGCCCATTTCAAATGTTGGGAGGTTTTCACAGAATGTAGATCAAGCATGTCAAACTCGCGGGCCGCATGTGTCCCACAAGGACCATCTTTGTGGCCCGGTGAGCCGCGAGTACATGTTGGTGTTGTAGCAGAGTAGGCACCTGCTTTTCCCACATTGCAGGTGCCTACTCTGCCAAAACTTACCCGGCCGGGGAGAAGGGCCAGCGAGGCAGCTCAGTGTTCCAGCTACTCACTGCTCCTTCGCACATGCCATTTGTAGTGAAACTGGGTGCCGGAAGATGGCGTCATTACGGTACCCGGCATCACTAAACCGCGTGCTGGAGCAGTGAGGAGCAGATAGAAGGACCCCAGGGAGAGGCCCCACATTGGCTCCAAAAGGTAGGGAGCAATAAAGAAAATTATTTGTGTGCAAGAATGTGTAAGTGTGTGAGTGTGTGTCTGTCTGTGTGTTAGTGTGTGTCGGTCTGTCAGTGAGTATGTGTCTGTGTATTTGTCAGTGAGTATGTGTGTGTGTCAGTGTGTCTGCATGTGTCTCTGTCTGTCAGTGAGTGTGTGTGTGTCTGTCAGTGAATATGTGTGTGTGTGTCTGTCAGTGTGTGTGTGTCTGAGTATGTATCTGTCAGTGTGCGTGTGTCAGCGGGAGGATGAGTTTTGGCACAGCGTGGTGGGGGGGGGGGACTGGGATTTAGTAGAGGGGGATGCTGGGGTTTGTTTATACTGTACTTTTTAAAATAAACCTACATTTCTATGAACATTTTTAGGTTTTTTTTTTGGCCCACATAAACTTAAACCTTGTTTATGTGGCCCGTGCTAGACTTTGAGTTTGACATGCTTGATGTAGATCATCTTACCATATATTCCTGCCCTGGATTCCCATACTCAGGCATCCTCCAATTTGCCCCCTGCCCTTACAATGGTTTCAGATTGAGACAGAGGCAAAGGGGTCTGTTCATCGAACATTTCTTCCACTTTACACTGACCTTCCAGTAATTTCTGTGCATGTACACCTGTGATTAAAACTGATTATTATCAGGAATCAGTTCCAATAAACATTTGTGGCTTACCAGAGCTGATGCTGATTATATAATTTATTGCTGTGCTGTCAACATCTGATACTACACCTCTGCTCTATCACATCATCTGGCCACAAAGCAATAGGGTATTGAACCCAATATCCTCTGATGTTTTTCAAGTTTTTTGACTAATTTTCTGTTTTTGATACATTTTCATTAATTGTGTATATGGCATTTTCCCTTTCTACCTCCTGTGCATCCATTTTGAGTAATCTTGGGTCAGAATCAGTCGTTATCCGACCCAAGATCATTCTCACCTGTCCGGCAGATAACTTTCAGATTTTCTGAATGAATGTGTGTATTTGTGAATTTGTGTAAGCATTTCAATATATATGTTTTTCTTGCAGGACTAATCAATGTTATGGTCAGTAGAGTCTTTTATATTTGTACAGCAGATCTACTCCAAGAAAGACTAATTCGTCAACAACGTCGAAAGTAGCTTACTTTAAGAGAAAATATGCAGAAGAAAAGTTACATCAAAATTACCACGGTTATTTTCCAGAAGTGAGTTTCACTTTGCAATTTTGCTATTTATTCACCCAAATTGTTTGCAAATTAAAGTGGATCTGGAACATTGTGTTTGACTAGGGCTCTAACCTCAGATACACGCCTTGGTAGAAGAGGTATTTCTTAAAATAATCTCTCCTAAAATTTTCATTTTATTCCTATTTGTATTATATTATATCATTGGGTCTTCTCTATATGAGATTTAAATAAAACAGTATGCCCACTTGTATTTAATTAGGTTCTGCCAGACAATTACCTCTTTGTATGATGACAGTACTAGCCATTCAGTAAGCAATGACAATTTTTAAAAAGGAATACTAGTTCTGCTTTTACTATACTGGCTGTAAAACAGACTTTGGAGCTTGCCATCTAATCCTACCCAATTATTTTGCATGTTTTATTTGCTTGTTCCCACTTAATGAGAGGAGGCACAATAATGAGCATTCATCCAGGGTACAAAGAACCACAGTGCATTCTGCAAACACTTTTTGATCTAGTTAGGAGGACAGTACTTTGAAAGATCATCTGCTGTCCAGAACCACTGAAAGATTTTTATTTAAGTTGCGATATTAGCCTTATTTTGCAGAAGAATATTTAGTTATAGAGAGAGTTCGGTAATGGGAACCTAGATAAAGGGATGATTGCAATTTAAGAAAAAAAAAAATTGGTGACTTTGATTCGGATACCTCTTGGGTGTTGCACATGAAATAAGAATGGAATGATCCATTCCATAACATTAAATAATGAAACACAATGAACTGTGGCTTTATATTACATTTGTATGTTTAGGCCTGTTTACTTTTGTCTGTGTAAAGTCCAATTTTGCCAGCTGTGATACTTTGGTAGTTGATGTGCGATTACAATTTTCACATTATACAGAGTGTGACAAAGAGTGAGTGCTATAAAAAGGCTACAAAATATTTTAAGAAATGTATTTTTGTTTTCTCTCCCCTTTCGGTTTGATTCTTTAGCACCTGATATTACCGGAGGACAGAACTTGTATTCTTAAACTATCTCTTGAGAAACTCCGGTTTTTAGAAGATCCAGAAGTCTACTTACGGAGATCAGTGTTAATCAATAACTTGCTCAGGAAGATACACATTGAAGCTGACAGAGAAACCTATGACTATTACAAAGAAGAATCCACCTGCAAAGCCACATATAGTGATTCGAGAAAACGGCTGAAACTTATGGTGAAGGGTGTCTGCTCCCAGTCATTATACTATGAAGAACTGCACTCATATCATATTGTGCCTTATGCTACAGAAAATGTGATTTACAGGATGGGTTACGCTAGCAGTCATTTGGCACAAAACTCTCAGCTGCTAATTTACAGAGTGAAAGAATGATGACCACTTTAAAGTAGAAACGCAATGACATAAAGCACTACTTGGATGTATGAGTTGGCAGGTAAAAGAATTGAGGCAGGTTTAGAAAGTCACGCGCTAAAATGTAAATGATGTAGGCTTTTACAGATATGCATTCTTGTTACTGTTGCAAGGGCAAACACCACATTTTTACACGGTGTAGCTGAGTGTAATATGAGAGATTTCACATATTCTATATTTTTATCTATAGTTTGTGTTTAGTGGAAGAAGAAAAAAAAAGTGTGCATTTTTTTTTTAGCTTTGTATTGACATATGACAGCGTTTTGAATGTTACACACCTGTACAGATTAAGCTTTTTTCTTTGAACGTTTCTTACGATGTTAAGGATTTACTAGATTAAATACAAGCCATGGTAATGCACATATGGGTAGTACATTACAAATCTAATATATTCTGTCTAAAAAAATAAAAAAATAATTAAAATATTTTTGTAGTCAAATATTGCAACAAGTGATGTGTTTGGAGGGTTGATCCCCAAAAATGTTGAGATGTTTTTTTGAAGTACGTGTACATGGCAGATTTTAATATAGAATTTAATTTCAGATATGCACTACATAAAAATTATATATTTGTCTTAGAAAACATATGTACATATTTTAAATCTCCTAATAAATATTGATTGTAGATCAGTAACAAATATTGCCAAAGGAGAGCTATACGCAATGCCAAAGATACAGATTAGATTAACCCCTTTAAGGGCCAGTTCTTTGTCATCATAAAAAACAAAATCTGGTCTAGAGCCTTTTTCAAAATGGAATGTTCCATTTATTGAGTATATTGCGTACTGTTCTATTGAACTCTTCAATGGAATGCCTAGATGTTTTGATGGACTGTTACTGGTTATCATTGGGTTAAAATAATCAAATTAAATTCAGGGATTATAGGGATAAAGGAAAAAAAATTTGATAAGTTCATTTAAATGAGCTAAAGATGCTGTTCCACAAAACACTCACTGGATTTTCTGAGCAGGTATTACGTTTCCATTGAACAACTTTAAAGATCTAAAATAAACTGGTCAGTGCAGTTAAAGATAAAAAAATAGTTATTACAGCATCGTTCCTCAATTTAAATAGCATAGGGTTTAGTAAAGAATATCACTCTAATAATGTAAAATGATGATACTTTCGATAGCATAGCTTCTAAAATATGCATTAAAATTTAGTGCCAAATATTATCAATGTTGTGTGTGAATATATAAAAATGATATGAAAATAATAAAATGTAATATATATATATATATATATATATATATATATATTAATTACATTTATCATGTTTTACAAGGAACAGAGAATGTACAAATGAAATATTTATGCTTGGGTAAGGTTTGAGCAATGTGAGGTAACAGTTGTCATAATTAAAATGCTGACATTTGTCATAAAAGCCTTTTGTACATGTAGATTTGTGGAACAGCATATTTTGTATAAATCCAGCATTTGGCAACTGTATATTCACTAAATGGCTGCAATGGTTCTCATTTCAGCAAATGAACTTGTCAGAGTCGCTTAGCACTCCCTGTGAACGCAAAGCTGAGTGGGAAATGAGCAACAAGTAGTTTTTAAATTCAGATTAATATATTTTAGCTCTCATTAATGTCATCATAATATACCAGATGTTCAAGCAGTGATGTCATAGATCTGCATTGGAGTCATTCAAATATTGAAATCAGCTTGCTGTAAAATTTATACATACTTGTAATGGCAACTGTATCATGAGTTTCATTTGGATATATATCCCACCGCAAACAGAACCCCCAAAACAGATGTACCATTTACTCGCCAGCTATTATCCAAATCTGAGCTGTGTCATGAAAGGTAGCAGTAGGAATGTTGTATGTACAAAAATGCATGTGAATGACAAAGAGGCTCATTACTAACAAATTTAAAATACTTTATTGCAACATAGTAAACAATCCAAAATAGTGGGGGTAGGTTACTGCAGGACCTAGATATCCAGAAGGCTCACTCCTCAGCTCCTAAGATGTACCAGCACTATATACTCCACAAAGCGCATAAAGTAGAACATAGAATAAAAAAAAAGGTACAAGGCACAAAAAGGATATTCTCGGTGATAAATTGTCACCCAAAAGTTCAATGTGGAAACACAAAACAAAATATAGCTGTGCATTGTACATTACAAGGACTATCGCCTTAAAAATGAAATTGTTCTCTCCCTTTATTGTACCTTTACTTTGGATTATTTACACAGCCACACTAATTAATATATATATATATATATATGTATATATATAAATATATATTTGGTATATGACTAGCCTCATCTTTAAGCACAGTGGCATTTGATCATGTGATAACCAATGACCACTTCATTTATGTAACTATGTAGTATATTTAGTATATTAAAAAAAGTTTATTAACAGCCTAAAGTAAAGAAAGGCAACAAAAATAAAACTCAAAATTCCGCTCCCAGCTCTAGTACAGGACCTGCAAGGGGAACCCCCTTTGTCATTACTCAGATTGCAGATAAATAAATTAGAAGACCGGCAGAACCCTGTAGCAATACCAGTTGATACAGACAAAAAAAGTATTTTGGTCTGATTAAGATGTACGAATACAGAGTAAAGGTACATAGAGAAAGAGAACCACAACCCTATCAGTTTCAAGCATACCCTACTCTATCCTGTTTTCTTAACATGTCCAATATTGGCTAGAATGGATTTCAAATTACTTTTGTTGGCTTTTCTGTTTCACCCTTGAAAACATAATCGTGTACATAAAATATAGCCAAGATGTCTCATGTACTGTGTATTGATAATAAAACAAAACTCTGCCAAACCACCATTGTTTAGTTTGTGAGCTATAAAAATTGTGTGTGTGAATTTGTTATACAGATTTTCATGTGGTAATGCTGAAAATATATTTTGATTTTCAATTATTTAATTCTTGTGTTTTTTTTTTATATGTATTGTACACCAAGGTTTTTTTTTTTTTCTACTCTGATAATGAAGGAATAAAAACACATGTAGCATACAAAACTCATTTATCCTTTAAAGTATATATTATATAACTAAAATAATTGTCTATACATTCTGTATCATGCAAGTAAATTGAACTTCACTCCATTTACGGACAGTACTAGCCTCCTCAGTGGTGTGTTGCCTATTCATTTTCAATCACATTTTAGCCTGTTTAATCCAGAGAAATCAAGTTCCAAACTGCAAGGTTACTTTGTACAAGTGACTTCAAGTGATTGTTTCGGTCTCATGCAAGCTTAGCTTAGTACATCTAGTTACTAGAAAGTTTAAAAATCACAGCTAGACATTCTAGTGGTTCAACTGCCAGATATATGCTAAAGATGGTAATAAGGTCTAAAGCCAGGGTGAAGGAGCTCCTGATGTTCCTGGCCTGCATCAAATATGGTGTTCAGAAAATGTAAGGTCTGTCTGAGCTTGTTCTGAAATATACATCAGCAGCATCTAAGGCAATGCAGTGAAACATACAGCCTGCAGAGCCCACACATTTGGCCCATCGGGTAGTTGTAGGAGTCATGAGGGCTCTTAGATCAGATCACAATGTTAGATTCCCACGGTGGCCTGCTGGGAAGATACTAGCTCATATCACTTTCTCCCAGCCAGGGCCGGCTTTATGTCTTTAGGTGTCCTGTGCGAAAAATCTTCACAGTGCTCCCCCATCCCCCCGTCATCCATGTATAGTGTGTTTGTGTATAGACGTGTAGTTATTGTATAGTGCAACACACTCTCGGACAACCACTAGGGAAACCACAACAGGGCAATGAGGAAAGGTGATTTTGAGTTTAAATACACGCTTTACAGTTCTGATGTCACGCGCAAGCTGACGTCGTCAATAACATGTGCGGACGTGGGGGTATAATTAGCCATGGATGGCGTCCATCAACATGTTGCAAGAGTCAGTTATACAGACGCACAGCTGCTGGGTGCAGACACTGCAAGGTGAGGAGGAATATGTTACACCTACATTACAGAGGAGCACAAGAGGGGGAGGGAAGCCTGGTATTTCTGACATCCATTAATATTGGCCAGCCAGCTCCCACTGGACCCCAGGGAAGCCACCCTTGTGCACCCAAAAGGAAGATAGTTGGTGGCTAAAACTATCTTAATTTTTACTTATATGTGCATGTTTGTGTGTATGTTAGTGTCTATGTGTACAAGTATCTGAGTGTGTTTTAGTGTGTGGTTGTAAGTGTATATGTGTATCTGATTATGTGTGCATATCTGTGGCAGTGTGCGTGTATCCCAGCATTCAAATGCCAAGACTGAACACAAATATACCAGCGCTACACACAAACACACCTTTTTTTAATTGTTGCAAGAGAGCAATAAATGACTTTTATGACATTATGAGAAGTTCTGTGCGCATGCTTTTGTTTTGTTTGTTTGTTCACGCTTGTGTGTTTATATAATGTGTTTGCATTCGGCCTTACATACCTATGACAGTGGACAATATGGCCCTTCAGAACAAACGAATTTGACGCCGCTGATCTATAGTGTTGAGGTTAGCCATCATTACCCCAGGGTCAATGGGATAGAGGAGGTTTTGGGGCCATTCACCAGGTTCCTACCTCAATATTTGTCTCCCTGCATCACACCACACACAACTACGTACTTGTGCCACTGATGTTGCTAATCACTTCTTAATAAGGCAGTTAACAAATGTAACGGCCACCTCGCTGGTGGAGGGGTTTCCGCCACCAGAGATGTCCTTTCCCCCTATAGTGAAGAGCGCTGAAGTTTCCCAAAGCATCAATCCAACAGTGTAGAAGCAGGTATAGTGATCATAGCAGGTCCCTACAAACACGAGGCGAGGCTCTATGTTGAGGGTAAAGCTGGTACTAATTTTAATGGTGCCACACTTGGCCTTGTATGACAATCCCCATGCAAGGGGCACTCCCACATGGACCTTGTGGGGAACAGAGTTACAATATTCACAGACAAATAAGAACAGTATTTCAATGCATAACAC